CATTTTTCATGAGTCATCTTTTCCTCGCTTTTTTCAAAAAAACATACCATCTGAATTGAACCATATTGGGTTTTCTATGCAATCTTATTCATACGAATCTTCTTTACAAAACATCCAAAAAAACTGTTTAAAAATAACATTATTCAAGTTCTATTAAACTTTAGCAAACTATGGTACCCACAAATTGCTAGCGGGTAACTAGAAAAGGGTGTGAACGTATGTACCTAGGGCAGTGATATTATTGTAAAAACATGACTAAAAGTGGTGATCAGTGCGCAAAAAACATGCAAACTTACACACAAACAACTGACCTAGGTTACATAAAATTATGTAGGGGGAGGCCATTACCATTAAATCAGGAAAGGATAAAAGGGGGAACCTGTACATTAAACTATGTTAAGTAGTTGTCTTAGTGTCTTGCTGGCTCCAGCCCGCTGCATACTTGAGATAACTAGGGAATGACACTGGCAATCAGTCAGGAGTTGCCCCGGGAGCAAATGAGGACAACTCGGCAGTCAGACCAGCCCCTCCTACTTGTTATATTAAGACTGATTTTAAAGACAAACTCTCTTAATCTTTCATCAGGGGTTGCATTCACAGAGGCATAAACTAAAATGTTTCAGCTATGTATCCAGGGAGTACTTATATACGAGACAGATTTCACCCTTAACCCCTTCATGAACATACACGTGTACAAGCATACATGCACAAATTTATTATCAGATGTTATACCTCCAAACTAGACAGCAAAGATGGCGAGTATTCAAACACCAAACAGAAAAGAAAAATAATGCAACAATATTTGCATATGAATATATTTGTAAACAAAAACCATGCTTAGAAAAGGATAACAATTAAAATGTTCTGGCACTGTTTTGGTCTTAGGAGGCAAAAATCACAGACATGCATTTAAATACAAAATATATCAATAACTTCCAAAAAAAAAGAAAAAAAAAAAACTGGACTGGACTGGCAAGGTTTATGTAAAAATACAATACATAATTATAAATTACATGTAAACATAGACTAAAGTACTTAGTTTGGACCTGTGTAGAATTAGGAGGGTTAACCTGCAGATTTCTTGAAGTGGAGGTCCTTCCAACCTTTAGTATCTCATGTTTGCACAGTGATCAGATTATACAGCCATACTGCATCTGCATATAAAACCTCCGTATTGTAACTAATTAACAGGTTAGGTAAGGTAAAGGTATTTTATGAGCCACTTAAGTTCAAGTCAGGTATTATAGTTATTTTTGTGATAACATGCACAATGATAAATGCTGATGTAAAAATATTTTCCTTCAGCGAGGTTGTTGGCATATATATATCTGACCTCTTCTCTTCCACTATCTCTTGGGGCAGCTGAGGACAATACTCGAAGTCAGACAGATCATGACCTAAACTACACATATAACTACACATTTTAACACCAAGACAACTGTTCTCAGAACTGTGTATTTATCTCTCTTACTTTTTTTTTTTTTTTTTTTTTTTGGGGGGGGGGGGGGGAGGATGTTAACCAGTAAAAAGAAAAAAAAAAAATTGTTTATATTTTTTAGCCTTTTTTAAAAGGCTAAAGAAAATAAACAATTTTTTTAATAAAAATTTTTTNCTTTTCCTCGCTTTTTTCACAAAAACATACCATCTGAATTGAACCATATTGGGTTTTCTATGCAATCTTATTCATACAAATCTTCTTTACAAAACATCCAAAAAAACTGTTTAAAAATAACGTTATTCAAGTTCTGTTAAACTTTAGCAAACTATGGTAACCACAAATTGCTAACGGGTAACTGGAAAAGGGTGTGAACGTATGTACCTAGGGCAGTGATATTATTGTAAAAACATGACTAAAAGTGGTGATCAGTGCGCAAAAAACATGCAAACTTACACACAAACAACTGACCTAGGTTACATAAAATTATGTAGGGGGAGGCCATTACCATTAAATCAGGAAAGGATAAAAGGGGGAACCTGTACATTAAACTATGTTAAGTAGTTGTCTTAGTGTCTTGCTGGCTCCAGCCCGCTGCATACTTGAGATAACTAGGGAATGACACTGGCAATCAGTCAGGAGTTTCCCCGGGAGCAAATGAGGACAACTCGGCAGTCAGACCGGCCCCTCCTACTTGTTATATTAAGACTGATTTTAAAGACAAACTCTCTCAATCTTTCATCAGGGGTTGCATTCACAGAGGCATAAACTAAAATGTTTCAGCTATGTATCCAGGGAGTACTTATATACGAGACAGATTTCACCCTTAACCCCTTCATGAACATACACGTGTACAAGCATACATGCACAAATTTATTATCAGATGTTATACCTCCAAACTAGACAGCAAAGATGGCGAGTATTCAAACACCAAACAGAAAAGAAAAATAATGCAACAATATTTGCATATGAATATATTTGGAAACAAAAACCATGCTTAGAAAAGGATAACAATTAAAATGTTCTGGCACTGTTTTGGTCTTAGGAGGCAAAAATCACAGACATGCATTAAAATACAAAATATATCAATAACTTCCAAAAAAAAAAGAAAAAAAAAACTGGACTGGACTGGCAAGGTTTATGTAAAAATACAATACATAATTATAAATCACATGTAAACATAGACTGAAGTACTTAGTTTGGACCTGCATAGAATTAGGAGGGTTAACCTGCAGATTTCTTGAAGTGGAGGTCCTTCCAACCTTTAGTATCTCATGTTTGCACAGTGATCAGATTATACAGCCATACTGCATCTGCATAGAAAACCTCTAATTGTAACTAATTAACAGGTTAGGTAAGGTAAAGGTATTTTATGAGCCACTTAAGTTCAAGTCAGGTATTATAGGTATTTCTGTGATAACGTGTACAATGATAAATGCTGATGTAAAAATATTTTCCTTCAGCGAGGTTGTTGGCATATATATATCTGACCTCTTCTCTTCCCCTATCTCTTTGGGCAGCTGAGGACAATACTCGAAGTCAGACAGATCATGACCTAAACTACACATTTAACTACACATTTTAACACCAAGACAAATGTTCTCAGAACTGTTTATTTATCTCTTTTACTTTTTTTTTTTTTTTTTTTTTTGGGGGGGGGGAGGATGTTAACCAGTAACAAGAAAAAAAAATAATGGTTTATATTCTTTAGCCTTTTTTAAAATTAAACTGTACCTTTCAAAGCCCATTCTAATAACCAGTAATATGACCAAAACTCAAAGAAAACAGGGCAGCAAAGCTGTCAAATGTACAGAAAAAAATCAGAAAATAACAATGATAGTGTGCAAAATGTTTTTTTTTTAAATCAATTTTGATGCTATGTTTCAGAATATTTCACAGCATATAATGCTAGGCAATTTATCATTTAATACATTCTACATGGACATTCAAAAAAAGTAAAAAGCTTAGGACTTAAGGCCATCGGTATTTCAAAAACCCACACTGAAAATGTCAATATGCCAAAAATACGAAAATTTCAGAATAAACTACATAATTTGAAGAAAATAGTATAATTAATTTAAGCTGCTACTTGAAATTGGTCTTAATTAAAAGTGCCATATAGCACTACAGAAAGTATGATGATAATCAGTAAAATGACGATGACGACAACAATGGAAGAACAGCAGAAAAAAATGACAACAATAACAAAGACAGATGTAGGTGATGAGTATATACAAGCACAGTGTCTGTACATAAAAAGGAAGGGTGGGGTCAGAATTTTGGAATTTACCGAGGAAAGACTGATGAATTCTTTCAGATATACACACTCACACACAGCAAGTGAGTCACACCAGAATCCAGACAAAACATCCAAGCTTTCAAATCACCAAAATACTTTTATATACACACATGCAAAAACCTCTGCAAGCTGGCACTGCAGATGAGACAACATGGTTAATTGTGAGCAGCTCGGCCCAGAGGAACGAGAGTGACTCGAAACACTTCGTTACCCTTCTGCTGCTTGCACAGGGACAGATTAAACAAATTGTCTATTGCAGTCAATTAAACTAATGTACCCAGCTTCACTCAGACAAAGCTGCACACCTGCAGGTACATCTATACATTTAAATGGAATGTTCTGGGGCAAAGCTTCATGAAGGTGTCATTTGCTAACAATAGTCATTACAGGGGCTCTTAGCTTAACTCACCTGTGTGGTTGAGGATGAATTCGATCAAACAAGTCTTTCAGCTACAAATTCTTAACCAACAATTGTTAAGTTAAACATGTCCCTGGGAGTAAAAAAGAGTGAAGGGTGGAGGGAAAATATAAGTTGGTTCATATTTTAGCAGGGACTCAAAAAAGCTCACAAATAAACACAAATAGCTCTGGGAGTAGCAGCTCCACCTCTCCAGCAGACAGTAGCTCCACCAAGTGGAGTGACAAGTGGCTCCATCTGTCAATCAAACCAGTGGTTCCTGTGACCTGTCCAATTTCAGGTTATATCGAAGTTGATTAGCTAGACAAATATCACTGGGGGGATTTCACAACTAGCCGCAAAGATAAATGGCAAGGCCTTATCTGCCCCAGCTTGGACTACAACTATCATTTTGTGTTTCTGTCTCATTTGAAACCTTAATGAGAGAATCCATCAAATGAACAAGTTGTAATGGTGACAGGGTGCATGCAAAAATGGGAACACGTAGGGGAGCTATTCCATAAATCATCAAAGTGGAATGTCAACTTATCTCATTCTTAGAAAGTAAGAAAAAATTCTCTACAGTGAGACAGATGGGAAGGAAATAAGGGAAAATGGAGAGATGAGGATATTATCTGTAATTACAAAGAGCATCATGTCATAATCAAAAATAAAATACTTGAAAATGAGTTTAAAATCATGTCATGGGCCACTGTTCCTCCACTTATTAATGGAAAACTGTACTAACTGATATTTCAGGCAGGTTGTAAAGTATGAGCTCTTTCTATGCAGCAGTGGTAATATTGGATTAAGCAGCCAAATATGTCTTATAAATCAAATATGACATGCTACAACTGAAGACGCAGGAAAAAAAGGGTGTGCAACATATGACTCGACAGATTTTCATCAATTCATCTTAAGACCTTTGTTCAGAAATCAGAAAAAAAATTATCAAATTGTCAATTTTTCACGTTGATTAACTAAAAAAATTGCTTTGATTTGAATCTAAACCCACACAAAAAGCTTTTGTGGCTGAACCCAAATTCCACTTTTTTATGAACACTGCTGAACCGCATTTCAACTGAAAACTAAACATCAAAAACTAAGCTCCTTTTTAAAACACAGCACTATACAACCTATGGCCAATCCTACACAGAAGAAAAAAATCTGATTTTTTTTAAATGCTGCACTTAAAGTCTGCCTTCTACCAGTTGCCATGGTAACAAACACACAGCACGAAAACATCTGTTTCAGTTGATCAGGGAGTGTTGTATAGATTGCATAACATGCAGTGGCATAACTCAAACCAAAAGCCACAAAGTTGTTAAGGTCAGCCAACACTTTACTGTGATTTCAGACGGCAGACAAAAAACAAATCTTCTTGTGACTTCTTACAGATGTGTGTGTATTTGTGTTTGTATTTGCCCATGCACCTGTGCGTAATGCGTTTGTGTGTATGTGTGCATGTGTGGCAGGTGTGTGTGTGTGTGTGTGTGTGTGTGTGTGTGTGTGTGTGAGAGAGAGAGAGGGAAGGAGAGAGAAAGGAATGGAGATATAAAAGAGATATTGATCACTAACCTTATATCTGGTACACATATGAAAGCAATGCTCCAGAGTGCCAGACTTGGATTTTTGTTGTTGCTGACTGTGCAAGGTGGACTTGTTATATAGGTTCACATCTGAACTTGGAAAAGGCTGCAGAAATACAAAACAAAAACAAATGTCAAAATATTTGAAAATTGTCCTTCATTACACCATCGCCTGTAGGTAGTAAACAGTTTGTGAATGACTCCACTACAGACTATATTTGGTCAGGAGGTTGCAATCGAGCTACTTCCTGAAGTTGAAAAAATTGCTCAGAGCCTTTAATTTTCATTACTTATTCATTGTATAAAAACTGTGCATGTTTCATAACTTAAAAAAAAAAATAAATAAATAATGGGATCATTTGGATGCTACTTGCAATGAGGTGCACAGATGTGCAATCAAGCACATAATTATCATTCCAAAAAAAAGTCCTATGAACTGTGCATTCTTCTTCTCCTCTGCAAAAAAGGGACACCCTTTTTTATACAGATAATCTGGCATTTCTGGCAACTCCCAGCCTAACAGGAGTTTTGTGGAGCTGAGCTGTCTGTTAAAATCAGCTAAATGTTTTAAGTGATACCTTTTTTTTATTCTGGTATCTACAGAGCTTATTTTATGGGGTTATTAACCTCAAGCTCTTATGTGCATGTCATACAACACTTACCTTGTTCTCAGTATTTGAATTACTTTACTTATTTGAGCAAAAAAAATTATACATCATTAAATTTTAATATCTACCATTCAGGACAAAAAAATAGACTGAAAAAATATGAAAATCCACTATCTTGAAGATAATTTTAAAAAAGGCATAAAACAGTGCAACGAAAAGTTACTTTGTAGCAGAAAAAATTAAAGGGGCTCAAAAAAGGTCTTCCCCATATTTGACCTGTTTTCACCCTTGTATATCAAAAGCCCTTCATCTCAAAAAAGGATAAGGTTACAGGGCAGAGACCAGAGGGATTATTTTGGGTCTCCTTTGACAGTGTTATTATGAGCTGCATGTTAACTCACATGTAAAGGGATAACAACCGTTCACTTTGGTAAAAAAAAATTCCAGAATAATTGCAATAACTGCTGTTTTGGTGGTAAAATGGAATTCATTACATTTCTATGAGTTGTTTACCATATATTTACTGTGAAATAAGAATCTCATACAGACAGTTGTTATTCTTTTGATCAAATCTTTCACCTGTGGATGGTAAAAACCTTTCTTCAAAGAAAAATGATAAACATATGGTCGCTAGTTGATCTGAACTTATGACATTTAGGCCAGGGGAACACTGCCACCAACTCTTCATCAACCCTTTAAATTATTTCTTATCAACTCATGCATAAATATTCACAAGAAATAATTCTGAGTACATGTTATAAAGACCCATGTTACTTGGGTCTACGGTGATTGCTCCATATATTTGAGCAACATGAATGAGTCATTTTCTTTCCAGTACGGTTCATTAAAATTATAACTGTTACAACCTGTTGATTCAAAAGCATTGACAAGTTAGTTAAGTAGCCCTTGTGCTAGTAAGTGAGCTGTTGTGGGTATCCGAAAACAACAAATCAGTAAAAAAAAAAAAAAAAAAAATGAGGCAATTGAAAATTTTAAGTAATTACTGTACCTGAGTTTTATCCAGTATACACAGCATCTGTTCATCGTGAAGCAATATTTGGTGTGGAGCCTTTGGATTGAAGGCGATATGGTTGATCTTACTGTGTCGTCTGCTCCACTGGGAAGGGAGATGTGAAAGCAACTGGCGACACCAAGAGGTATATTCTTTATCTACTGTGTTAAATTCCACTATCTGCAAAACAGAAAAATATAACTAATATATATATTTTTTCTTTTAAGTATACAAGAGTTATCACTGCACATAATTTATCTGATCACCTTTCTCAATACTTTTTCGTAGGAAGAGGGGGTATGTGAGGGTGGGGTAGTGGAATGGAAAATGACAAAGAAATTTCGAAATATACTTTACATATTAAATGAATATTCAGTTATGAATTTCATTAAAAATTAATGATGGAAAAATGTCCCCTAAGTCTTAATATACACAACTACACATGACAAAAGCCAGCCACAACTGTAGCCCCCCTTAGCAAAACGGACATCGAACATCGAGAAAAGAATTCCTGGCAAGGGGAATATGAATGGAAGCCAAAATGCTCTTCGTGACCCCAAATTTAGGCAGAATTAGAGGGAGAGCATTTTTGAATCAGAATTATATTACACAATTTTATAGCAACAGGACAGCTATATATAGGCAGACATACAGCTACAATGGCTGTTCTGTGGAAAAATTATTAAGTTCCTAAAACTCATTGCTGATGTACAATTTTTTTCATTCAAACATCAAAGGGCACCCAACTTCTTCCTAATAAGACCCAACAACACCCATTTTAGGTTTATGTCACCGTGAGGAAATAGTTTTTCTACCAAGCTTCTCATTTTATTTATTTTTTTCCTTTAAACATGGTAATACTAATGCTGTGCATTTTTTATACTTTTTTATTTGAAGGAATTCATGCTTTAGGGGAAGGTTGTTGCATACCTTGACAAATAAGGCCTAACCTTCAGAAACTGTCACCAGATAAAACGATTATATAATATGATAACCAAATTATTCATAACTTTCCCATACCAGGATCTCCTGAGTAACGTAATATAGCAGTGTGATATGGGGTTTTAAATGCCAATTGTGGTTCCAAGACTCTCTTTATCATCAGGCTCAGTCACTGTATGATTATCAATAGGAATTATCTGTACCAAACTGTAGAGAAATTAGATCCTGACTATTTAATTTTCTCGGCAACAAAGAAGAATTCATAAATCTTATGACATTAGCACAATAGATCCCATTGTGTTCAGGCCACAAAAAAAAGAAAGTTACTGATTAGCAGAACAGTGCAGAATCCAGTCACCTAGCTATCATAAAGGGAAAAACGATTGCAAATAAGCTTTTGCTATACTTCTCATTATATTTTGAACTTTTTTGTTGCAACCTGGTGTCATCATATTGTGACACGCACACACACTCCTCAGATTCTGCCCTACAAAGGACAAAAGTGTCATTTAAGAAAAAAACCTGGTGTCACCATGACCTACATTTGATAGCGTCACAACAGCCTCGTGTGTGTTTAACTCTTATTGTCACAGTGGTTACCTAACGCCTCTTTGATACTTTTTTCCCTTTGTAGAGTTCCCAAGTGTGCTTAGCCTACTTATTAGTATTCATAGGGGTCTGAAAATACATCAAGCTGTCTGAGTCTGCTGAATATGGCACAAAAAGAGAATGGTTTGCATAGAATGATTGACACCTAGATAGAATTTGTGATCATTATATCCGACTCTTTAGGGGAAAAATAATTTTAAAAGTCAGCCACACTAGGTGACCTTAAAAATATATAATATAATATACAATATTTTATTATCCTTTTTTACTGTTGACAGACTTCTATCATAAGTGCTACACAGGCCAAAGTGATTTTTCCCAAAACTTTTAATCCCTCCAAATCCCATGCCTACAAAGTTTTGCTAATATTGTGTTCAACTATTTGAATGTTCTACAGAGACATCAAAGATCACAAATTTGCCCGAAATGACATCCATGACTTTGAAAAGTGGTTCAAAGTGAAAAAGTCGCCAACATGTCCAAGACGTCCATGAAAATTAAACTTTTGTTCCAAATTAATAAGCCCTAGCTTGTCTATTTCTTAAGAAATCTACTAAGTTATCGTTGATAAATTATTTCACTGAAACAAAGTTTAAAATAATGTAGAATTTTTGAATGATATGTCACACTACTGGCCCATGAAGGAGTATTTATATCTCCTATGTTACTGATCTGAATAATACTACACAAAAAGAAACAAGCATGCCATTGTTAGATAATAATTTTGTTTTAGATTATGCGGTGACAGTCACCTCTATTTACGGAGAAAGATATAATAAGAGCTTAACATCAAGCCGCAAATAAAAATAGCATGGCAAACCTATTACCCTGCTCTTTAAGAGAGATCCAATATCGCTCACTCTTATTACATCATTGCGCTAACATTACCAAATCAAAAACAACTGTTCTACCCTTTCCACAGAAACTTTATATATATAACTAGAGGCCTTCGGCAGTAATGAACCCCAGAAAGAAAAGCTGCAGATGCCATGCAAAGACGCATGCCAAACTCAAACAAGTCAGGCTGACTAATCTGTCTGCAAGTGGTTGAGTCCGAAAATAACATCACCATTGAAATCATAACCGTTTGCAATTAAAATCATAACCAGACAAAACCTGTCCATTTGCATCACCTGGGATGTTTTTTCAGCAGCAGCTCTAATTCCATACGGCCCTGCCACTAATGGTTAACAGTAATAGATACCAGGCGTTCCAGAATCACCGTGCGGTTCTTGGAAGCGACTCAATACTAATGGTTCCGAGAAGCAAGAACACACCTTGTAAATATGCCCCATATGCTTTGGTTAAGACCCCCAGGTGGCAGCCACATTGGACAGGTGTTACCAGGTGAAGTAAGTTAAGTGGATATGGTATATGCATTACATCATGCAGAGCATGTGGGGTGCAAATAAATGAGATACTGATCCACATCCATTCAGACTTGGACTCATATCTTTTAAGGTTTTGGTTTAAATGACCATGGTCATCAGATCACCAATAGTGAATTATTATTTCACCATTGATTTTATACCTTGTAGAGCTCACAGTAACCCCCCCCCCCCCCCCGGCCCCCCACCCACCACCACCCCCTGCACTCTGCGTAGCTGACTTTACTGGATTAATTGTATTAAACAAGAGATGATAAGTTGCATGCCTACTGGTCCATATCATGTTGATTAAAATTTCACATTTAATAAGAGTAAATAGGAGACACATGGGTCTGCGTTTATTCATAATTGCACATTCACAGTTTCTAAGTCAATTCCTCAAAACAAACAGAGCTGATTGTCACAGTGTTCTATTCTGTTATACAGTGAAAGCATAAAACACTTTTGATATTTGCTTTGTCAAAACAACCCCCAAACTATCTCTTCCTGAGAAACAAGATACAGCCACAAAAGTATGGAATCTCTGTGCCAACGTCCTCAAAACAAACTGCAAATCATCTGGCATTCTATTGTGCCACAAAATACAATCACATAAGTGCTTTTATGTCTATTTTTGTCAAAACAAACCACAAATCACCCCCTGCTTTATTGTTACATAAAGTAAACGCATTTCATAACCATCCCATCATTAGCGGCCTACGCGTTAATGGTGTCATAATATTCACCAAAAGAAACAGGAAGCCAGTTTCTATATTACATAAAATGTACTTTGAAAGTTATTTGTTCTTTTAACACGAGTCAACAGAAGGCAGACAGAAGGGTAACAACCACAAACCAGCTTGCCTAAATCGTGTTATTCAATTTCCAATGCAAAAACACATGGACAGCTCCAAATATATATAGTACTGATGGTGACTCTCTTTCACATGGCAGATGCACCAGCAGGTGACAACTGTATGTTGGTATAGGGGAATTGTGCATGATGTTAAGGGGGGAGGGGGGGGGAGGACTGGCTAGCTCATTTTGTTGTAGAAATAAGTGCAACCATTGGACAATGGGCAGACAGGCATTCTGTGCTCAATTTTCATAGTGCCCAGCAAATAACAACTTGTCATTAAAAGACCACAGAAATTATCTTTCAGGTATAGAACCTATAGATGTTATTTAGAACGGGGGAGATGACTGGTTTTTTAGAAAATTACATGCACTTGGCATTACGCTGATGCTGTAAACCACACAATCGATCATATGTTATTGAGTCAGGCCTATTAAAAACAGGGGTGACACGCAGAAAAACCACTGATAAAGTACTTGAGAACTCAATGCACTCATGCCTCACTTGCGGTTTAATCAAAAACATATACCATGACGTAACACCTACAGCTAGGGATAATTCTCTGCCATTAACTTTTCACGCAATTCGTATCAAATTGCTTAATTACACAACAAGCATGCAATCATGTAAACTTAAATATAAAAAACCCAGTGTGTTATGTACTCTGTGATGTACTTTTAATTCTTTTTTGTCTGCACTGTGGAATCATTTTTTAGGGAGAAATTGGAAAAAAAGTACAAGTATAGCTGGAAAATAGTAAAATATATCATTCAAAAATTTTCTTAATACTGTGAGCTACATAACAGCCTTTGCAGATGATTTCTATATAAATTTATAAACACATGCACATACATACACACATTCTCTCTCTTTCAGAAAAAGCCTTACAACACAGAAAAACACACACACACACAGTCTCTCTCTCTCTCTCTCTCTCTCTCTCTCTCTCTCTCTCTCTCTCTCTCTCATGCCTTCATCCTAACCTTTTGATCACAGTAGGCTACAACCAGGTCCCCAGTGTCAGGATGGAAGGAGAGTGCTGTTGGCTGGCTGTCTGCATGGGGAAGGCTGCAGTGATGCTGTGGATGCAATAACACCATATGGTTACATATAATCTTGCTGATCTTACAATATAAATGTACTGTATTTTAGTCCTACTAGTCAGTTATATAACTTTAAGAATAATACAAGTGGCATGGTTTTCCTTACACTGTGTTAACAATGGGAGGAAAGTACAGGCCAATTAGGAAAATGCATGGCAATAGCAACAACAGACACAGGGGATGGCCATTATGTCTAAACACTGTCTGTTCATAAAAAGTAAAATCTGTGATTAACCACATCACAAATAATACAATATCTGTTTAAATGAATGGAATCAAACTGAGTAGAAAATGTTTGTGTTGTGCATATTCATAAAAGTGTAGAGATGAAAGTTGATGTAAATGCAGATGGTTTCACTAAGGGCGTCTTCCCATAGATTTTAGATCGATCTATCCCCGTGGGGAGTCTCACTAGATTACTGTAAGATAATCCGGCTTAAATGTCTGTCCCGCCTACTACAAGCTGTAAAGGGGTAATTATCATTTGTGCCCGCTCGGCTGACAGCTATTTAGCGTGAACCCCCAGGGAATTAGGTTGATCTAGTTTGAATTGATCTAATCTCTGGGAATAGGGTAAAAAAAAAAAAAAAAGAATGTCGCCATGACACAGAAAAGAAAAAAATGTTTAAGCATAACAAAATCTTTGTGTTTAATTTTTCACAATTCCAACATTGAAATGTAAGTTTTTTTCCAATGTCAAATCAACCTGATGAACAGCTTTCTCAACCTTTGACTCCGAATAAAACAAAAACACATTCCATGTTTTTTATTTACCTTTTGTTTCTGAAGGTCATACACATGAACATTGCTGTCATGGTCTCCTGTGGCCAGGAACCTCTGGTCTGCACTGACTGCCAGCAGGTGGATTGGAGCAAATTTCCCTAGAAACATTTCTCAATAAATTGAATACATCTCCTTGTAAACTTAGAACAATTTAAATTGTCTGCATGTGATTAATGTTTTCAGCTCTCTGACAATTTTGAATGTCGGCCTGTCAATAACTAGACAATACCTGTATTACTGAGAGTTCCTTCAATCACAAACATAAATCAAAGAAATGACATTGTCTTGTTCACAATCTTGTATTAATTGTTTAGAAAATTTCTTTTCTTTGTTCAAAATTGATAACTATGTAATCATGTATAGTGGCAGGCAGTCACCAAATCAACTTGAAGAAAGGCTGTTGATCAGCCTTACGAAGAACTCTCACATAAAAAAATTCACTCAAAAAAGACCACTTTAAAAAAACTGTACCAACCTGGTGGTTGTATCGTCACTGCCTCAAGCTTATCTGTAGACATGTATTGAATGGTGCCATTACTGGCTGCTGAGATCAAGAGGCCACCATCCCTGGCGAAACACAACACATGGGCAGGAAGTAGCGACATCGGAACGTCTCGCAGGCGTTGGACAGATACTTGTGGAGTAATCTCCTCCGATTCCACCTGCAGATAAGAACAGTTATGGTATATGGCAACAACAGTCTTTGATGATTTTCAGTGAAAAAAGGATCTTTTTCATTTCCCATTTTGGAGACCTATTTTGGTGTAATTGGAACTCCAAAGTAAGTATCTGATTTTATCATGTAAGGTAAATATGGTGCACTATGTTCAGCTTGCATCACAATTACTATGCACTATGTTAAATTTGCAATGGATTGTAATATATTATAATATATTTATATATTTTTTATCTGACTAAAGGTGCAAACTAAAGAGATTGCGGCAGGATAACTTACAATGGAGACTTGATACAGCCTTATACTGTCTGAATCAGAGTAAGCCACAAAGTTTGCCTTGCTGGAAATGGCAGACGTCACAATGGTCTCATTGCCCTTTGACTTCAGCTGAAGCAGTTTCACTGGGTTGTTTTTCAGCTGGAGTATCTCGCCATCTTTGTCTAACAAAAAGGTGATATTGCATCACAAATCATTCAATTGAGTTCATTTCATTCTATAGTGTTCCGCTTTCAGTTCTTAAAAATGTGCATAAAAGGGTTTTTTTAATTATAAAAATTATTATTATTATTATAATTATTATTTTATATTATTTTTGGCAAAATAAAAAATATGCTTATGGTTCATGAGTTCACTTTACTTCATAATGATCCACTATCTAAACAATTTGTGTGTGATGGCTTTAAAGATCTTTTATATAAAAAAAATCACTTATTATTTACCAGATGTTTTATTGGTAGATCCTAATTTCCACAATTCTAAGAAATCTGTATACTGGAACATCACAACATTGGCATCAGGAGCCACATCAACTAACTGCTGACTCTGAAATAAAAATATCTTTTTTTTACATGAAAAAAATTCAAACATTCTACTTGACAATGCCCTTTTCACAAAGTATTTGTGTAATCTACTTTTATTCAACTGTGGCAATTAAGGCTAAAAGAAGCAAGGTAAACATACTATTAGAATCTTTGTGAAATGCAACCTAACTCATAAGATTCTTAGAAGGTTAAGCTCAGACCTATCTTCAACTTCAGATTCTTTGTGAAACAAGTCTGAGGAGGTTTGTTTTTTTATGTATTAGAGGCTGCGCTACCTGTGGCACGGGAGGGATTCTCCTCCATCTTTTGTTGCCTTTCTTCTTGGTAATCTTGTTAACTATTAACTGGCAGTCAACACCTGCAATAACAGCTGATCTATTAAACTGCTGACGTACATAGAGAGAGTGAGTGGTGAAAGAGGTTTCTCTTCTATCAACGAAGAACTAACAAAAACAAACTTATTAAAAAAATATTTTTCAGCATATGTGCATAATTTCCCCTCTATAAACCCTATCACTTCCAAACCATGGTTTTCAAAACATGCTACAAATTCAATTTTTAAAATAAATAAATAAATTAATAAATTAATAAATAAATAAAAATAATAAGAGACAGATACCTGCCTTTTTGACTACTGGACATTCAGATTATTTGATTGTGTACATTTAAAAATCACAGGTTTTTTAAACCAAAACATTCTCTCATTCTAAACTACCAAAACAAGAAAAGAAATAGGACACATAAACCTCCCTCCATGACTCCGTTATGAAACATCAGAAATCACACGTTGTCACAAACCTCCTGATATAACACTATCTCCAGCTATTGTGACTGCACGCACGTCATGTGTGTGCTGATTGCGTACGCTTGACCTCACCCACATCTTCCAGTCGCTATTGGCCTGTGCAGCTGTGTACTCAAACTGTGCGAGAGCAGGGTCCACCCCACTGGCAAACACTGACGTACCGTCCTGGAAGAGATAGCACGGTTGCAGTATGTGCTAAACAGTTTTTAGTCTACTGGCAATTTGATACACTAGGGTTTTGAGAATTAAATTTAATTTAATTAAATGTGTGTTCATATGTGTGTGTGTGTGTGTGTGTGTGTGTGTGAATGTGTGTGTGTGTCTGTGTGTGCACGTGCATCTGTGGGTGAGGACAACACCTGACTAGCACAGACTGAGAGCACATCAGCCTTATGACTCTGGTAACTCTTCAAAGCAGTGCCTTGTTTGCCATTCCAGAATGTGGTCTTCCCTCTGGAATCTCCACTTATGATGGTAAAATCCCTGAAGTAACAGATAGCAAATATTAAGCCAGAGAGCTTTTACAACTAGCTCATAAAAACTTTTGAAATTATTCAAGTTTATCTGTTATCTATTAGACATAGGTGTTCTGCTCACATGGATGGCAGTATGGCAAGCTAAGCTGTACATCAAACAAAAGACTGTTTTCATATTTTTTGTATCTACATGTAAGGATTTACTTTCTTAGCATGGGGCACAGACACAGTTACACCCATGTATGTGCACAAAAAACACTCTTTGTCTCCGTTAGCAATATTTCATATAATATTTTACATATTATCTCCAACGAAACTGTAATGTGTGCTCATGGCCAGAATCAAACTATGAAGCTTAACATGACGTACTGTGTCACTGCAATGCTCCACACAATGGTGTCCTTATTTCTGTCCTGTCTTCCAAGGGTCAGTCTCTGGACGGCATGGCCAGACTGGACACTCCATATCCTGATGTTATCTATACCACCACTGACCATCATCTCCCCACCCTCGTGCCACGCCAGGGACAGGATACGACCTGATAGAATATGAAATTTATCATAACTAGTTTATGGGGGTGAAGTTAAATAAAGGGTTATATTAGCACCCCTTAATTTATTTGTACAACTATTCTGAATAATGTTAGGCTTCGTTCACATGCAATGTCTATTTTCTATTTTCTATTTTCGGTATGTCTTATGATCACGGTCTGTGCACTGAATATCCTGCGGCGTAATTAATGGCAGCGCGAGCCCGGTAATATAAGTTACTATAANTTACGCGGCGGGATATTCAGTGCACAGACCGTGATCATAAGACATACCGAAAATAGAAAATAGAAAATAGACATTGCATGTGAACGAAGCCTTAGTGTCATCAAAGCACTTATTCAATAAAGTATTTAAATTCTGATCTATATTAAACACAAACCTCAACATAATCAAATAATTTAGAAACTTTAAGAAAGAATGCTAAAGGTTTTTACCCTCTTGTCTGTCTAATGCTTTATCATATACCAGGCCCTCCTCTGTGAGCTCAAATATAACTATACAGCCCTCCTCTGTTCCCGCCTGAAAAATGATTTAAAAAATCAAACGTCTTACTTGTCCTTTCACAAAGTATTTCTATTATATATTCTACGGTTATTCTGAGAATTTTTTAAGCTGAACAAGCCTTACATTTTGAGTTTATAGAGGCAGGCAGCTTGGACAGCTGATTGTTTAAAAATTATTTTTTCTAATAAAATATTCAATTATTGCAAGTTAAAAAGTATTTTAAGCATAACTGATGACAATCAAGGCCTAACTGAGATATGAAAAAAAAGAAACATTCCTGACTGTCTTCTCTGTTTACCATATCTCATTCTTTTCATTTCAATTCAAACTGAATTTGTATGCCAATATTTCTTGATTACTTACAGCTATATGTGTTTGTTTACTGTTGGCAACCAAACACCACACTGCCCCGGCATTAGACGGATGTGTACCCTGAAACAAGATTTTTAAAATGTACACACAGTACTGTACCTTTTGAAAAACATTTCCACATGTACTTTAATAATTATACACCAGTGAGGTGCAATATAGTTAGGAAACTCTTATAGTAATATCTTCATCATAAAACTAATGAATGGGACAAAAAGGGTACACAGCTAATATTGAAATAAACCGACCCTCATATAATCTACCTTAATGGTTGCCTTACCTTGTGAGATAACTGCATCAGGTCATACTCAGTGATGTCTCCTTGAAGTCCACCACTGAACAGCCTCTGTTGACACCACACCAAGGCCTCCACTGACTGGTCTTCTTGACCAGGTATTATCTGCGGCAATGAGACATATATATTGAAACAGACATTTCCAAATGGGAGAAATAACAATATAACATGTAACTTGAGTTCATAATTTTATCAAGCATCTTTGTTAAAAATGTTAAATACAGTGGAACTACCTTTTTTTTTTATTTTGCCCAATTTCTCATTATAAGATTATGATGTATGACAAGTATTACTGGTATCAACCAATTTTAAAAATGTATAAGCACCACTTTACCTGACTATGTGTAACAGCGATAAGATTATACTGCAGTATCCAAATAAGAAAATTGAGTTTTTTAAAGTTTTTTTTCTTATTAGTGTGTGTGTGTGTGGGGGGGGGGGGGTCTGTGGGCAAGTGCAAGTCAACCATGCTTATAAGGAGAGAAATACATACCTTTTCCTGAAACCAGTTGTCTTTGGCACTCCAGATTTCTACTGAACCATCTGATCTAAGAGGGAAAAAAATCATTTAAATTTTGTAAATTACATCATTTTTTTAAATAAGATTAACAAATCTTAACTTCTATTCATTTCTATACTTCTATACCAATACTAAAAATAAGAATGAGATAGTGAACACATTTCAGGGTTCATGTAGAATTTCAATTTGCATATTCTTTGAGAGAACAATTGATGTCCAAATGATTGTAGGTACTCAAGAAAAGTTAAAGGGAAAATAACTCTTCGTTTTGGCCAAAAAATGAATTTTCCTGGAGTAAACAACAATATTCCCATACTTACCAATGGTTATTGAATCCATTTTTACATTCAAAGTTAGTCCCTGGTTTTTTTTCTAAAAAGTTTGGTTTTCTGTTAGTGTTATAATCTCTTACTTAAGAGATTCTAACAGAGTATAGCCATCAGTGGAGGTCATGTGGTCTAAAGACAAGTTAAGTTATCAGAATAATGGCTATAACTGCTGTTTTTGTGGTAAAACAGAATATATTATATTTCTATGAGGTCATTTTTCTTGTGAAATATAGATTTCATACGAAGAGTTATTATCTCTTTAATTTATAAGCTTTATACGACAACTGTTGGGCTTGAGAAAAAATAAAACAGCATTCTTATGGTGAAAATGTTTTCATTTTTTTCTCTAGAGTAAATTAATAATTAATTGTTTTTTGAAAACATCTGCTCTTTTTGCACAAAATTTCCACATTTTTATATACTGCTGTAGCATGTAGAGGTGAGAGGAAAGGGAAATGTGTGTACATCTGCACCCAATCCAGAGCATATATATTTTTCAGCCTTATGAACACCATTTACTTGATTAAGCTTGCACTTAGCCTAACAGTGACTCTATAATATACAGATGTAAATACTAGTATTGCAAAACAGTGAATGTATAGAAGGAAGTGTTAAACTTGAGTTTCTTTGCCAATGAACCTAAGGCTGTTTTTAAAATTCGTCTTGGTGACTTCAGTCTCATTATGACTTACCTGGACACCGCTAGTCTTTGTGTGTCTTCGTCACTTGCCAAACAGTGAATGGCTTTTGGCACAAAATCAAACAATCTTACATGGTGAACTAAAAATTCTCCCATCTTTTGACAACTCGTAGGTGTTAATAGGCTACCAAAATATTCAACAAGTCATATCCAAACCGATTTGAGGTACCTCGGGACAAAACATTGTCAATATGTATACAACAGCGTTAATTCAAGAGGCAATTTGCAAACAGTTCATGCTTTTTTATAACCTCCACATGTTTGACCGTCAATAGGTACTTTATGTCGTGAACTGGAGCTCTTTAGTAAAAGAAGAATAGAAATTAGGATCCGCATACAATACAAGCTGGAACCTGGGCTCGCATTTTGGAAACGGAATTTTATTATATCGAATGCAAGTGTTTAAATGTTTGGCTCACGATTTATTAAAAAATTAATCAGCTTTTCACGATCTTTCTTACCAGAAATTAATCGCAAGGGTATGGAAGAAGCAAGAAAAATTGCAGCAAGTCTAGTCGATTCTCCCGAAGACAAGATGCAGTCAACAACCTCGGCTCCACGTGAGTCGCCCGGTGAAATGCCTCCTGTGCCTCCTGCAAAACCCCTGTCCAAAAAAGCCATGAAAAAGGTAAGGTAAAAAAATATTGTTAGGAAGAAATCAAGCTTACAAACTGCAGTTGTAAGTTTTAACTTTGGTTTGTACATTTTATAATATTTTGACATCTTAATATCTCTCCAATCTCCATACAAAATGTAGGTGTATATCAGAAAAATTTTCAAACTGATCAGAAAATTATTATACTTATATCTTCTGAAAGGTAATACAAAAAACAGATGAATTCTTTTGGAATTTTTAAAATATTCCTACAAGCAACAAAGATATTGAAGTTTTTTAACTGCAAAAATTGTGATATACCTACAAAATGTCTTTATAGTTAAAATAAATCACTACTAGTAACATTTTGATAAAGAAGGAGGTAGTACCAATTTTAAACACTGATCAGTTGAAAGGATTTTGTTCATTCATGATATGTCCATTTACTAGTACTTGAAATCTGATTTTATCAGTAATAAGGTTGTAATATAATTTGTTATTTCAGAAATTAAGACGAGAAAAATATAAGGAGAAAGAGAGAGAGAAGAAGAAAAATAAACCACCCAAAGAACAAACTTGCTTTACGGACACTACTCTGGCTGAAACTGAATATTATTTTGAGAATGGTAAAGATGAGAATAAAATTTCAATGATGCAGCAGTGTTGTTTTTGTAATGCAATATGGTACAATGATTGATAAGGAACTGGTAATATTACTTGTACATGTCTATGGATATCAAGACAGCATTTAAGATTTTTAGATTTAGATTTAGGTTTTTTAAGTTGAGGAACCTGGGCTAGCAGTCCTGTAAAAAAGGTCATGATCTAATGATTTTCTTGTATATTTTATAACATTTTAAATGCAAATTGAATCGAAGCCACAAAACCTATTTAATGTGCTTCCCATATACTGTAAATATTTTGATAGTAACCCCTAAAAAATTGCTTCCAAAATTTTTGAAAACTTTATTGAATACAGAAAATAGTTTTGGTCAGTAACTTAAATGCTGAATGTAAAAAATCTTAGTTTCATTGTTGTGCTTGAAGTTAATAGGCATTATTAGTATTATTGTATAGCACTTATTAGTATTAGTATTATTGCAATACTTTATTTTTTATAGGCTTACGTAAGTTGTATCCATACTACTACACCTTTAACACCTGGAGCAAAGAGAGATGGTATGGAAGAAGACTTGTGGATGTATTCGCTGAAGAATTCAACCACTATAGTAATGATGATGTGGTCAGTTTACATGAATTGTCATAAGTAACCTTAACTTTAGTTTGCGATATTGATGGTAGGCTAATGTCAGGTATTTGTACAACTTACAGTTTCACTGTCTTTAAAGGTACATACGAACCGAGCATCAGTGGAGTGTGGATTCCCAGTAACACATGTAAACCACTTCTAACAGATTCTAATATGACTCAAATAAATTTGACATGCCAAGGGATAAACATATTGGATCACTCGATCAGCCATAAAAGACCTTTAGTCTGCTCCTTTCTTTAAATTTATGGTTGTAAATTTAACCTACTTCAGTGACCTACTTTCCTGCCCCATTGACATACAGCTTAGAATGCCAGCAGAAAAATCAGTTCAAACATCATTTTCGGGTAAAATTAAACAATGCCTTTTGGTAATTCTCTTAGTTATACTACTTGAAACTATATGCTGGCATTTGGTTGGTTTTTGTGACAAAAAATTGACTTTGTATGTATCTTTAAAAAAGGTGAAAAATAAGTTATTGGGTGGCATTTAATGCTTTTTGCTCATGACCTGATGTGATTAAACATGGCTTAAGAAAGTCAGTTTTATTGATTGTCACCTTGTTTGTTGATTTGATCAAAGTTTCTACTTACTTCTAAGCTAAAACAAATATTCTGGCATGGATGTTGGAAAGGTGGTTTGTTTGAAGAAGTTTATGAGTGAAAACTTTATTTATTCATTTATTTAATTATTTTTAGTTGAAGGCAATTGAGAGTGGCAAGTTGTGTGTCAATGACAAACCAGCCAGTGTGGACTATGTATTCAAACCAAATGACAGACTTAATCACACCTTGCACAGGTAAGTAATTGTTTCTCCTCCCTTAAAGAAACAATGGCTTGAAACCTGGGAAGGAAAGTCAAATAAAGGGCACATCAGTATAATTTACTACTCTGTGCTGACTGCGCTCAAGACTTACACTCACCATTGATTTCCACATTTGAACTGTGGACTATTTTCTTTCAATCAGTGGGCAGAGTTTCTATCTCTGTTTACAAAAAGTAATACTTCTGAACTTCTCATCATGCACAGACACTGCTGCACACTGACTTTGTTCTAAAACCATGCATTGTTTTAAGTATAAGACTGCAGTTTGTAATGGTATGTTGTAACAGTGAAAAGTGTAATAAATAAATACATAAAAATATGTTTAATTTAAAGTGAAATTAAATTATGGTCATGGTAGCTTAGACTACCTATTGTTGAGAACATGTTTGTTGATAACAAAATCTATTTATTTCAAGTAATGTAATGTCGACAACCCTGAATAAATAGCATAAGACAATACAGTAAATGCACATGTTTAAATGTCATTTAATTGTGGCTAGCCTAGAATAAATTTCATTTAGGCATGAGAAACCAGTATGCGCAGACCCCATTCAGATTGTGGCTGAGACGGGGGACTTTGTGGCTGTCAATAAACCCAGTTCCATCCCCATCCATCCCTGTGGCCAGTACAGACACAACTCTTTGTTCTACATTCTGGGAAAGGAATATGGATACACACAACTCCGGAGTAAGAGCAAATGTTCTGATTAATCCAGAAGTGTGATGTCACATAACTCATGAGGGAGAAGTAAATCTAATACTGGACTTGAGAAGTAATAAATAAAGTTAAAAGCAACAAGCAGAGGTTGGGATGGACACCACCAATCTTCAACAGGTCTGGCAGCCAGATATCTACTGTTAAGTGACCAGCCCAGTGGGGCAATAATCATTTCTTTGTTGAATAGCAGTGATACTTGCTCCGATGTCAAACTGTTGTTTTATCACTTCAGAAGTCTAGTATTATTGAATCCTTTTATGTGAACTTAGGATTAAGTAAGGTTTATAAGTATGGGAAAAAACCCCACAATTTTGATATCATATATCTATTCATCATTTTATCGTGGAAATTAAGACAGAAATCTACATTAGTGATGTGTGTTTTGTAGGAAATTGTAGTGTGTAGTGTGTTTATTACTGCTCCAGACATGTTTAGCTGTATCCCTCCTTTATGGGTGAGGCTTTGAACTTTTTGAACAGCCACCAGAAGTCACTATTCTACACACATGTATTCTGGTGATCATTATTTATTTTATCATTTCAGCAACGTATCGGTTAGATCGGCTCACCTCTGGACTGGTCATCTTTGCCAAGAATCACACAATGACCAACACAGTGTCCCAGCTGGTGGCCAACAGAGAAGTAGAGAAGGAATACGTGTGTAGAGTGGACGGAGAATTTCCTAGGTGGGATATTTGTGATATTTTCCCTATTGGGCAGCCTTAATTCTTAGCCACTCCTACAGAGGAGCACAAGTGCTGGAAAACATTGGTGAAAATTGTATTTAAGTCTGTGTCTGGGTTTGGAACTTTAGACAGAATCCTTTTATCTGTGTGTTTATTGCTAGGCAGTTGCCAAGATTCCATTCATTTCCAAATGGACTCAAGACTTTGAAATTTCAAGTATAGCAATCAGGTGATTTTCAACTTGTACTGGGTTCTCTGTACTTCTCATCCCATTTCATGCATGGCCATGCTGACAAGCATGAAATTGAGAAAGTTCACCTGTATACTGTGAAATAATCCTCATAGGCCATTCTTCCACTGCTGTTATCTAGTAGTATACTGTACGTTCCCCATAATATTGTAACGTGAATTGTTATTTATCTCGATAAAATCTAGTGCAACAGATTTTTTCACTGGTAAAAGCAGGAAGTGTATGAACATTTACTGACTGGAATGAGCATGTAACTTGTAGAAAATGTTTTACACCCAAAGTGTCTTCGTTGTGCTAAGTATACCATGATCAAATTTCCCTATAATTTTTGAAATATTTGTAAACATGCCATTTTGGAAGTAAAATAGAATTTATTATATTTCTATGAGATGTTTACAATGTATTTATTGTGAAATATGGATCTCATGCAAAGAGATGTTATCCCTTTAATCATTAAACATTTGTATGGACACTTACAGTGGAGAGATAGTGTGTGCCCAGCCCCTGGGGATACTGTCATACAAGGTGGGATTGTACAAGGTGGACCCAAACGGGAAGGAGAGCAAAACCACCTTCCAGAGGATGAGTTACAATGGCAAAACAAGTGTGGTGAAATGTGAGTACATCATAAGTACAGTCTGTGCCTTATAATTTATTGGTCTGCTGTTGATTCTTCAAGCCGTCATGGTTTTATACTTAGAATCTTCTGGCCCAAAGCAGAAATGGTGACCACTGCACATACAAAATTTAGCTGACCAGGTTTTAATTCTATGGCTTGAGTTAACCCTGCAGACTGAAGGGTACTCTGGAAAATAGTGCATGGATGTAGTGTTGTCACCTTTTCTCTTTTTGTCTATCCTGAAATCTGTCAATGCAAGTGTGTTTGTTGCATTTTGATATGTTCATAACCCATCCTGTTCAATAATTTTTTACATTATAGATATTTATAAAGAAAAGGTTCATTAATTCCCTATAGGTGATAAATATGCATACACTTAGACCCCATTCCCATAGATTTTAGATCGATCTATCCCTGTGGGGAGTCTCACTATATTACTGTCAGCTTAGCCGGCTTAAGCGTCTGTCCCGCCTACTAAAAGCTGTAAGGGGGTAATTAACTATGGTGCGCGCTCGGCTGACTGCAATTTAGCATGAACCCCCAGGGAGTTAGGTCGATCTAAATCTAAATCTCTGGATCGATCTAAATCTCTGGGAATGCACCCTTAGTGACAAACAGCATGAAAACTGTTTTTCATCCCACAGAAACACCTTGTTTAAAATGCAGTTAACTTTATTTTGATGTCAACAGGCCGTCCTCACACTGGAAGAACACACCAGATCAGAGTTCACCTCCAGTACCTGGGTGAGTTGAACTCGGAAGGGTTTTCTTCTACATAGAGTTTCAATTTTTTATGGCATAATTTGTATTTTTCTAAAATGCCCATTTTTATGTTAAATAATGGTGACGAAAGGGAATAAACAGAAATCGTCTTTAAGAAGATGTAGCAGATTATTTGTTATTCCAATATTTTTTTCCTTTTAACCATGGATTGGCAAGATGCCTTTAAATTTACCTAAAGATGGAATTGTAATTATCTCTTTTTCTAGAGCTTATGTTGAAATGGAGGTCACTATGTTTCAGTCTGATTTTTTCGGCCTTATGATAATTTCATATTATTTAAATAAACAAGATTAATAAAACCTTTCATTTTAATACTTTTTAATTCTCAAGATCAGCCATATTATCACAATAACTCTTATTTCAAGGCTACCCCATAACAAATGACTATGCATACAATGGAGCAGTTTGGGGTCCACATAAAGGCAAGGGGGGAAACTGGGGGAAATCTGAAGAACAGGTATGCAAGAGAAACAGATACAGATTAAATGACTTAGGTTACTTTGTATTTGCTTTATGTTATTTGGTCAAATCACCAAGTGAGTTGAAATAGTAGATATCACAAAGAATGTTTTTTTACCATTATGGCCAATACAAAGGGGNGTTCACCTGTATACTGTGAAATAATCCTCATAGGCCATTCTTCCACTGCTGTTATCTAGTAGTATACTGTACGTTCCCCATAATATTGTAACGTGAATTGTTATTTATCTCGATAAAATCTAGTGCAACAGATTTTTTCACTGGTAAAAGCAGGAAGTGTATGAACATTTACTGACTGGAATGAGCATGTAACTTGTAGAAAATGTTTTACACCCAAAGTGTCTTCGTTGTGCTAAGTATACCATGATCAAATTTCCCTATAATTTTTGAAATATTTGTAAACATGCCATTTTGGAAGTAAAATAGAATTTATTATATTTCTATGAGATGTTTACAATGTATTTATTGTGAAATATGGATCTCATGCAAAGAGATGTTATCCCTTTAATCATTAAACATTTGTATGGACACTTACAGTGGAGAGATAGTGTGTGCCCAGCCCCTGGGGATACTGTCATACAAGGTGGGATTGTACAAGGTGGACCCAAACGGGAAGGAGAGCAAAACCACCTTCCAGAGGATGAGTTACAATGGCAAAACAAGTGTGGTGAAATGTGAGTACATCATAAGTACAGTCTGTGCCTTATAATTTATTGGTCTGCTGTTGATTCTTCAAGCCGTCATGGTTTTATACTTAGAATCTTCTGGCCCAAAGCAGAAATGGTGACCACTGCACATACAAAATTTAGCTGACCAGGTTTTAATTCTATGGCTTGAGTTAACCCTGCAGACTGAAGGGTACTCTGGAAAATAGTGCATGGATGTAGTGTTGTCACCTTTTCTCTTTTTGTCTATCCTGAAATCTGTCAATGCAAGTGTGTTTGTTGCATTTTGATATGTTCATAACCCATCCTGTTCAATAATTTTTTACATTATAGATATTTATAAAGAAAAGGTTCATTAATTCCCTATAGGTGATAAATATGCATACACTTAGACCCCATTCCCATAGATTTTAGATCGATCTATCCCTGTGGGGAGTCTCACTATATTACTGTCAGCTTAGCCGGCTTAAGCGTCTGTCCCGCCTACTAAAAGCTGTAAGGGGGTAATTAACTATGGTGCGCGCTCGGCTGACTGCAATTTAGCATGAACCCCCAGGGAGTTAGGTCGATCTAAATCTAAATCTCTGGATCGATCTAAATCTCTGGGAATGCACCCTTAGTGACAAACAGCATGAAAACTGTTTTTCATCCCACAGAAACACCTTGTTTAAAATGCAGTTAACTTTATTTTGATGTCAACAGGCCGTCCTCACACTGGAAGAACACACCAGATCAGAGTTCACCTCCAGTACCTGGGTGAGTTGAACTCGGAAGGGTTTTCTTCTACATAGAGTTTCAATTTTTTATGGCATAATTTGTATTTTTCTAAAATGCCCATTTTTATGTTAAATAATGGTGACGAAAGGGAATAAACAGAAATCGTCTTTAAGAAGATGTAGCAGATTATTTGTTATTCCAATATTTTTTTCCTTTTAACCATGGATTGGCAAGATGCCTTTAAATTTACGTAAAGATGGAATTGTAATTATCTCTTTTTCTAGAGCTTATGTTGAAATGGAGGTCACTATGTTTCAGTCTGATTTTTTCGGCCTTATGATAATTTCATATTATTTAAATAAACTAGATTAATAAAACCTTTCATTTTAATACTTTTTAATTCTCAAGATCAGCCATATTATCACAATAACTCTTATTTCAAGGCTACCCCATAACAAATGACTATGCATACAATGGAGCAGTTTGGGGTCCACATAAAGGCAAGGGGGGAAACTGGGGGAAATCTGAAGAACAGGTATGCAAGAGAAACAGATACAGGTTAAATGACTTAGGTTACTTTGTATTTGCTTTATGTTATTTGGTCAAATCACCAAGTGAGTTGAAATACTAGATATCACAAAGAATGTTTTTTTACCATTATGGCCAATACAAAGGGGATTGTTATATATTATTATTACACATGTATATATCACGATAATTATTATTATATACATATGATGGATATATTGTTAGACTGTCCATATATTATTTTTCTATTAATATTCACAAAAAGAAAAAGGCATGTTGAAGTAGACAAATTTATTAAACATGCTATTTAATTTTTTTAATTTATTGAAAAAAATTTAAAGTGCGAAACCAGGAAGTGCAAGTATACCAATTCCTGTTGCAGTTATGTGAGTATTCTCTTATTCTATTGAACGGGTAAGCTTACTCTCCTTTACATCACATTTTTTTTTCAATACAGCTTATTAGTGATCTCATGAAGAAGCATGCACGCTCCAACTTCATTGTTGACAACTATAATACAGAAAACATTTTTGAAGAGGATAAAAATGGAAATATAGACAGAGGGACTTTGGATGAGCAAGAGGACAGGAATAGTGACTGTAATAAAGCTTCTGCCAATACAGAGGGGGAGAAAAAATATGCAATAAATAATTCAGCCACACAAAGCCAAGGTCAAATATTTCCTCAGGGTGAAGGTCATGCATCTTGTGACCCTAAAGAATCTGAACTTAGTGCAAGTTTATCTGCAGATTCCAGAGAACCACCTCTGAAAAAGAGAAAAACTGAGGTGGAATTAGACAAACCCCAGACTGCAATTAGTGATAAAATTATTAAAAAATTGACATCGGGTTCTGAAGCATCCAGTGTTTCTGATGACAAAAGAACAGCTATTTTAAGACCAGCTTTTGACCCTGCCAAATTGGTTGTCGATCCCAACTGTACTGACTGTAAAATAAAGACCAGGGACCCCAGACCCGGGCCAGAACTGGTCATGTATCTTCACGCACTCAGATACAAGGTGAGAAAAATATAAGTATAAGTATAAGTGATCGGATATTGAATTTTTTTTTTTTTTTGCCTATTATAAATTGTTGCAAATGAGGGGTAGCAAATGCGCTTGGTCAGCACACCTATCGCAATACTGACCACATACTGACTATTTTGTTCTTACAATTAACCACCACCACTGACCTGATACTTTATAAATTAAAGAATTCAAATAAATAAAGGAACATGAAGTTAACATATGGTGTTTTTTGCAAGGCAGCTGCTCACTTTTGTCATGTATCTTAATAATTGCACCGCCAATGACTGAAAGTAGACTATAACATAATATTTGGTATTATAATTTTTTAGGCAGGATCATTGTTCGACTTTAGTACAGAATTACCTGCTTGGGCAGACGAGGACTGGAAAGAACCTGATGACATTTGACCACTGGTCAGCAGTGGAGAAATCAGAGGTTATCAGCTTTATTAGATATTTGAATAACAGGAAGGTGGTTCATTATATGCGGTGACTGTGTGACACCTGTGGATGCCCCATAAATGGTCAGAATATCGAGTCGGTCAGAAAACATGGACTGAACTGGATGTGTAATTGAGATGACCAGTGAAGAAGAGAAATTGTCAGAACAGGCTATAAGTGGACACAATATTTGGTGATGTTTTAGTGATAGTAATCACTTACTTTGGAACAAAATTGTATTGAAACGGTTACATTTCACTCTTGTCACAAGAGCAGCATTGGGCTGAATGCATACAGGTCGTTGTGTGTTGGTACATGTAGACCTGTGAACGGGGTAGTAATTGGCTGAATGACCTGGCTATAAATGGTGGGTATTCACCAAAGTTTTGTTTCAAATGAAGTGATTACTATCACGAGATATCAGCAAATTCAATTCCTTGGAACCAAGAACAATCTTATTGATAATGTGGGCAGAAGTAGAAGACAGAAGAATATTGATTCTTTTGATGTGGCAAGACGAGATTAGGAATCCCTTGATAAAATCAGTCAAATAATTCCCCCCCCAACTTAGGTAAAGTTCCTTTTTACCAGGCAGACCTAGATTGGAAATCCCGCGATAAAGCCACTCAAATAAATCCACCTTACAGTGGGCAAAGCCTACTACATTGTGGGCAAGACACTTTTATTTATATTCTTTAAATTTTATTTGTAATTTCAAGTTAATTACAACCAGAGGAGCTTGACGTCATGCCAAGTTTTCTTTCAGGCAACATATGCTCTAGAAGTAAATGGGTAGCGATTTGTTTGTGGTGAGATTTAATTAGTGGATTGCGTTTTGGTCTCGAGATTGTTTGGCTTCTCAAGCACAATTTGTTGAAGAAATAATTATGTTGTCACATGTGCATCTTATTAATAAACAGGACCATGTGGGGCAGTTAGGCACGTTTTTCATCAGATTAAAGAGCTTATTGTTAATAATTCCTTTTTTATTTTATCAGGAGTCAAGAGATAACAGTGGAGAAACATACAGAAAATAAAGTTTATTGGCAATGATATAACAAAAAATATATATAGCAATGTTTTGTAACAATTTTACAATAATGAACATCTAATAAACATGCAAGAAATGTAATATAAATATTTTTGTGGTTTTATTAATGTATAACATGCTAGTATAAAAAGAATAATTTCAAGTACTAGTACATATGTGCAAAATAAATCTTTTTTTTTCCCTTTTCCACGTAAGTGAAAAATGGGACTATAAAAATCTTAAACTAAGTTCCATCTTTTAAGCCTACTTTCAGCTTAAATCCCAATATTTGCGTAAGAGTGTAGCATGTAGGGGAAATAACTAAATAAGTTCATGAGAATTGATCATTATCACCCAAACTCCAGTAATTGGAGTTTGGGTGATAATGTAATTGGCCCTAAATAAGCCACATAATCATAGACGTGGTCAAAACAAGATCATTATTAAATGTTAATCAAGGTTATTTACTATAAATTCATTTGCAATGTATTATTAGTTAACTATAATATGTTACAAACATGATCTTATTACATGGCATCATTTTTGAAGCAACATGAACCTGGAGTTTCATAATTGCTTTTCAATAATAGTATGAAGAAATCCACGAGATTCAAGAAAATGGGACTGGCAGCAGGTCCTTATAGACAGGCTACAATGGAAAATTAGTAAATGCCTTTGGTTAAGTTGCTGTTACTTTACATGTACATTGATTTTTTTGGCAAAGTATCAGTAGTTTACTACTATTATTGTAACAGAAATAATTTGGCATGATGTGGAGAAGAGTGGGTAGAAATGACCTTACAATGGGGGTTCTTGGGAGTCCTAAGGAATGAAAACTGCCATGAAAAATATATATACCTATTACCAGTTAATTTTTTTTTCTATAACCATGCCTGTACAATGCCATGTGTACTAGGAGTTCACATTATTTTTAATATGTAACACCATCGTGCAGATTAAATTGAACATACTTATATCTTGATCTAAATAACATGACCAAGAAGTTGGTTTCACAAAATAACTCCAGTCCGAAAATAAATCTAAACTTGGGTTCTAGATAACCTCACAGTAAGTGAAAATTATCAAACACTAGTCCGAAAAATTTAAAAACCATTAGCTTATGGCCAATATGCAAGAGAGGCATGAAACATACTGAAGCAATTAAAACAGAGGCAAGCACACTCCTCTTGTAATAAGTGGACCACAAGTGCAATAATCCTTTTATTCGAAGAGCCAATCAATTATCAGTCCCGTGCAGTAAATCTGTTAATGAATAATTATTTCAGATACTGGTGAAGTAGGTTCAAATTGGTAATTGAAGTATTTCCCTGACACTGAAGCCAGCCCAAGATTTACTGTACACACTCACCTGCTGGCTCCCTTCACCTGGCAATATAGTTGAAAGACTTCTGAAAACCTTCATTATTGGTGTGAACATTAACGTCAAGAGCATGAGATAATGACTGGTCAAGTCCTATAAAAAAGTCGATCTTCATCAAGGAAATCAGCCAATCTTCAGAGAGGATCTCAGTTAGAATGCAGCCCGAGGTGTGTCAGTGATCTCCTGTTGTTATTTAAGGCACACAACAAGTGTATAAGTAAGACCTTTACAAAGCAAAAAAAATTTCCAAGAAAATTCATTTCTTTGCTATATGAAACTTCATTGTGCAATGCATGCCTCCAACTGTCAAATGGCTAGGGTAGAGGGACAGTAGGAAGTGGGCTTTCTACTTGTCTGTATCTTCAACTGTTCCCAGGACCTGTAACCTGAAGTGCAAGCATTCTCATTATTAAAGATGTTAGTTAAGTGTTAAGCCATAACCTTGAAATGTTTCTTGGACACTTTGTAAGATTTTCTATCTTGATAATTGTCAGACCAGTGCCATATTGTGACAAATTTTGATTATTATTTCTATTATTTTCATTATACCCCCAACTGGCTAATAGCTTCAAGCATATACCCAGTATGCTAATAATTAGAACTTGTGTTTTTCTGATCTACATCTTTTTTTTATTCAGCCTTAATCTGCATGGACAAGTATTGTCAATATCACTACCTAAATGAAGATAACAAGACATGGTCTTGTTGAAGCAGTTTCAGAAATATGTTTGTACAAAATTGGTCAATTCATAACATTTTCACCCTTTATGACCCTTAAAACAAGAGATTCATCTGTTCAGAGTTTTGCTTGGTGCATTACTTTGAATGGCAAATGCTGCATGCTTAACATTCTTTAGTGTTTTACTTGCATGACTTGTACTTTTTTTGTTTGAACATCTAATGAAATTAAGCCTGGACCTAAGAACTGCCTCTCATGTCTATGATTTATTTCACATCAACAATCCTCCTCTCTCTCTTTCTCTGTGATATCAGCATGCTGGAGAAAAAAATGACAAGCACTTGAAGCCTTTTCTCCAACAATTGCACCATGCACATTAGTTCAAGTTGAAACCGACCCCTTTAAAAAGTATATCCCCTTTAAAATAATCCAAATAAGGTGTCAGTGATATAGCATAACAATATAATTTTGTGAAAAATTCAACTTGCCTTAGAACAGGGTCTTCCATCATTTCCAGTTTATCCCTCAGAACCTTCAGGTCATCGGCACACTGGGTCAATTCCTGGTCAGTCGCGTTGAGGTCAGTGTCCGAGTCGGACATACTGACCGCAGAGTAGAGGTCGACCAATTCAGAGTGTTTTTCGTTTGCCTCTATCACCATGGTTTCAAAGCGTTTTTTAAAGTTACTAGCATCTGGCACCTTGCCTTCCTGGATGTCATAGTATCTGTAAACGACCAAAAAAAAAAGATAAGTTCTGAATTTCTTATTTATGAATTGGTATACCAAACAAAATTCTGGAAATTCTAGAGATGGGGTTGGCAAATTATTATTTTCTTATAATTATTACATGACTTTGAAAAAATAATCCTAAAAAAATTGAGCAAATACGCATTCCTTAGAAAAGGCCAGCTTTCAAACATCATGCACTTTTGATGTCTTTATATATATATATATATAAAGATATATATAATTTTTCTCACAGTCGTAATCTTCTTTCCAAGTGTCTTGATATCCACTCATAGTCATCTGACTCTTCTGAATCCCAGAACCTCCACAAATATTGATAGAAAAATCTAGAAAAGAATTCCATAATATATATATATTTCTGCATGCTCGAAGGTGAAGCATATTTCAAGCCCACTCCCATTACCAGCATACCATTTCTACATGAAGATGATTTTCGTGTAACAAGGAGTGAAAAATGAGAGTTTAAAAAATGAGAGTTCATCACTTTCTCAGAGGCCTGGGGCATGCTTGTAAGAAACAACTTAAAATAGTTTCAGAGCACTTTCCTTAAAATGCCTAGAAGACGTTACTTTCCACATTAAAAGGTAAGAAACCAATTTTCAGTGGCACTGTGATTTTAACTTGATATTAAAATAATAACCACGGTCGATACAATATTTCCCAACAGACAATATAATACCAATGATTCACATATTTGGACTGAAATGGTGTCTTTTTTCTGGTCCTGCCATTGCCAGATTACAGCAATTATATTTTTTTAAATTATTAGAAAGATTATAAGAATGACAGTGAACTTGTTTGTGCTAGCGGTTTTCAAATAATGTGTAATACATGTCAAGAAAAAATATATACATACAGCAAATGTTTGCTCTCTCTCTCTTTCTCTCTCTCACACACACACACACACACACACACACACAACTAATTAATAGTACATACCTGGCACTGTGGCACTGTCACTGGCTTAATATAATTAGCTACTGGTTCCAGTTAATTGATTCCCTCATCTTATTGATTCCCTCATTTTTGATGGGATAGATCTCCTAAAGTGACACACACACACACACACACACACTCACACACTCACACACTCACTATCTAGCAGTATATACCTGGCACTGTCTATGGCTTTAGCTATGGGTTCCAGGTAATTGAGCCCCTCGTCTTTGATGGGATAGATCTCGTACAGTGGCACCACGTTCATCATGTCCATCCGGAGCCAGGTGTAGAACTCACACTGGGTCATCTTGGGGTTGGTACAGGTAAACGGTCGGACCAGATGGACCTTGGCATACTCTTTGTCCAAGTAGATTTTCCGAACCTGAAAACCATAAGTGTGGTGTAATAGGATTTTCATTTCCCCAGCTTGTGTTTAGTGAAAAGAACTTAATTAAAAAAAGATAATTAAAAATAATGTTATGACTTTTAAAAATCTACAGAGTCATGTTTGTGATACACACGACTTGTTACAGTATCTCAAAAGAGGCTAAATGAATTATGGTTTTCTCTGAAAAGTAAATTAACTTAAAATGTGCAGTATACATACTTGCAGCAGCTATTAAATTTGACTCAAGTTTTTTGAAGCCATGATTAATTGTCAGAATTTCTATCTGAAAGGATTGTTTGAAGAATAAACTTGTACCATAAGTCCCCCCTCCCCCCCTCCCTCTATACCAACACAACTTGTCATCTTTCTTTTCTGTAATGTTCCACTGGTATCTGTAACATGCCAGGATTTTCTGTTACATGCCAGAGGCAAAATTGTGATAACACTTACATGCCAGGAAGGGGAGAAAAACCACCAGGTACTCTACAGTACTCTACAGCCTTCCACTTACATGAAAAAAAAAAAATAACTGCAAAAGCAACATTACCGAAACAAGAACTTCAAACATTTCTTCAGAGCCTTCTTCATCCTCCTCACTGGCTATACAACTTGACCACACTGCTTTCCATGGACACGGCCACATTGCCTCCATCATGTGCTCCTGGAAAGCCTGGTGTACGTCCTCTGGGGCACAGTCCACTAAATATAAAGATACATATGTCCGCAACATTATAGGTTTAGTTATTACTAATATTGATGCAACAGGGAGAAATTTCCAGGCTTAATAGTTTATTAAAATTCTTACTCCTACCAGTGAATGCCCATTACATTTTAGAAAAATTGGTGATCTGAATGGCTAGTAAGCTGAAAAGTTTATGGGGCATGTACTTGTACTGTACACGTGGAGAATTTTTTGAGTAGGTCATTAAAATCAGTGTAAAATTGGTGACTGAACCCCATGGAAATGATTACCCCTGACAGGTATTCCTATGTTACCTGAGGCACAATCATATCTCATAATTCTAGGAAATGACACGCAATGCACACTCAAGCACACACACACATACACACACACACAAAAAAAAAAGCATTGCCAGGGTTTCAGTTAAGTAATACACTGAGAAAAGTAAAGGAAATAGTTTGTAAAGCATGTATCAAGCCATTTTCACCATATTCTTCTTCTGCCCACTGCCAGATCAAAAATAAAGCCCTCCCCTCCCCCATTTTATTCATGAATGTTTTTTTTACTCCTTACCTCTCCCTCAAAAATAACATTTTCAATAGTGCACTTTTGGACATTTTGAAGGACATGAAACAGTCTTCTGAGGCCCATAGTATTAATATTTTTTCTCCTTAAAATAAAGGAATGGGACTGAATAGCTCTCTTTTGTCATTTACCCGGGTAGTTACTTGTACGTCCTTGAAAATGTGCCCCTTGCTAGGCCAATATTGCCAAACGCAACCTTAATTACCTAAAATATTTTTATAAATCTTGTATCTATCTTCATATTTAAGATGGTGGAAAGTATAGAAGGGTGGTAATTTCACTTCCATGTTCTTATTTTCATCCTCAGCAACTTCATCCTCTGCTCCATCTTCTTCATCTTCTGAACTGGACATTTCCTCAGTTTGTGATTGGCTAATTTCCTGAATGCTGGGATTCGATTGGTCACTGCTTACCGACGTAAATGAGCTGGCACCACATTCTGCACAGCAACATTCACTTTCATTGTTGGTGTCATCTGAAAAAAAACGTACAATGTATAAAGAGTCAACTCTACATAACGTAAACAGTTAGTTAGAGATACTTGAAGATTCAAATAAGTAATATTTATAAGATTCAGTTAATACCAGAAAAAATATACATTATAAAAACTAATTCTTTAAGTTCAAAGGTGAAAAGCAAAACATAATCAATTGAACTCCTTTCCTGTTTGCAGCAGTAGCTACTCCCTTTTTTATTTTACTTTTTTGAATGTTTCAATGAGCATGAGTCAAATATTTTATTCTTTCTTGTGAGGTTACTGTTACAGCAGTATTTGCCCTTCCATTTCATTAAACATTTTGCCACTTTTTCATTTAAGTGATAAGCTTAAGAAAAATAAGGATCAAGAAAATTGACCTTTTTTGGATGCAGAACTAGACATAAAAATTTGCAAATACTTGTGACATCATCATCAGCAAAATAAACACTGCAACAATATTTAAAAAAAAAACTCAAATTTGTAAAAGTAATCCAATGAAGCTGATTTTCTTAAGGAATCTGTCTTATTAACTTATTACCAAAAATACATGCAAAAAATCAATTACTTTTGTAAAAAAAATAATCTGATCATACTGATTTTTGAAAAGGACCCTTCTTTTTACCAATGAATAGTGCTGAATCAGTAAATTCAGGGTAAAACAAAAATACAATGTGTCAGGCACTGGTGGCAACAGCTACATAATAGACAGACACAGTTATCAGGATACAGACAGACACATGCAGTGTCTATATACAGAAGCACTCTGTGATAAATCTGGATTATTCCCACCTTTAATGATTATGTAAAATATTGTCTCATACATGTCGCTGTGCACAAATTTCTCTTCCAACTCTTACCATGGAGCAGTTGGGCCAATTAACCCAGGTCCACGCAATCCCTTCAACATGCTCTTCTCTTTTATCTCTTTCATTACAAATTTTTAGGGCGATTCCCATTAATAGCCAATCTTATTACATAATTATTAAACCTAGCATATTACTTTTCTTCAAATATATTGAATTTATGAATATGGAAACATTAACCCATTTCACTGTAGTTGGAATGATTCATCTGGCAGCGGCAATTGCTGCATGTGGATATTTCCAGTGTTTCATTATGGGAGTAGCTGACTTCACTGTCACTTATGGACGTCAGAGGTAAGGAGGGTCTCTGGTTGCGTGGTAGGCGTGCCTTGTCTGAAAAGAAAATGTGTAAATGTATGCTACCTGCGTTTGAAACTCCCTAAGATTCATATTTTCTTTGTCTACATATCCTGCAAAGTTACTTTTCTTTCCAATTCTGACCTTATAAATGATAACTAAAACTCTTAAGTATACAAGTGCATTTTGTTGATGTTTCCCTCAGAAATGTCAAGAAGACATTGCTAAATATTTTATATAAGAAATGGTACAAGACAACAAATCCAAACACAGTGATTGGTCGAGCAATGTCCACTTTTGGGCAGGAGGAAATTGCAAGACAAATTCCAGATTGGATACCCCAAGGTCTGTAATTCAAAAAGGGTCAACCAGGGAGGGCTAAATAGGACTATATACAAGGTTATTACAGTACCTTCCCAGATCCAAAATGAAAATTTGATAATTGCCTAAAAAGGGCTTAAGAAGTGTATTGGAAAGCTTCACATGGTTTTCTGAAAAATTTTAATACTGTACACTATGGGGCAATTATATTTTATCAAACTATTTTTCACTATATGACATAGAAAACACTTGTCATGAGTCATGGATTTATTACTAAATTGGTACTTAAGGACAAGAGTGACTTATCTTTTCATGTTGACTTTTATATTTTACTCACTTTGATAGTACTGCATCAGTAATGGTGACTGGTTTTCTTTGGCATCCCATGCCAGTTTCGCCTGACGGGGAGTCAAACCAGTAGGTGTGAAGTAAGGCTTTTCCTCATTTCCAACATGGCCATCTTTCACTGGTGTTTCAAAGGAATCTTGCTTTTCCTTAGCAACAGATGTTTCCATGGCAGCTGGTGTATCCTTATCCTTACACATGTCATCTTTTTCTGCAACTCGTCTAACATCTGTACCACGCTCCTCATCTTTATACACATGGATAGTTTCAAACACTGCTTCTCCTAATGTTGCACCTGAGTGGCAGGTACTTGTTGCCTCTGTGGCTTCTTTTGCTTTTTCATCACATCTGAACTCATCTTTGGGTTTATCCATGCCCATTCTTATTTCTCTTATCTTGTCAGTAACAACATCAATCTCGTTGGTATCCACTGTTTCTTTTTTTTCTGCTTTTAACTCATTACCAACAATTTCATTAGTTTCATATCTATCACTGGTGGTCTGCATTTCAGTGGCCTTCGATCCCATAGCAGGACTTGGGCTTCTGGCCAAATCAGTATCTTTTGCCAAAGAATGAACTGAGCTTCTGTCAAGCTGAGTGTCGGACACTGTCACAGTCATTCCATCTGTATGCTGTAATGGGGTGACAGTGGTGATGACACTGCTGGTGACAGTGGTGGTGACACTGGTGGTGACATCGGTAACCACTCCTGTGGCATTGGTTCCCTTGGCACAAAGTACCTGAATGGTGTCTCCATCTGTTGAGGGCTTTTTGGGTACGGGGACTTCATCTGTAGATGTAGGTTGCTTTTCTTGGCTAGAGGCCCCATCTTTTGGTGGAATGTCCTCGACTGTTTCTCCGCTGTTAAGCATCTCCGGTTGATTAGGGAGTCCATTTGGACCAAGTGGTGCTTGGATGGTGGTTCCACCTGTATGATGTGTTCTTGGGGTATAGGTTCTATCAGGATTGTGTGAGATTTGGATGGTGGCTCCATTTGTATGGTGATCTGGTGTACTTGCAGTTCCATCTTGTTCCATAGACTTTACCACGTTTGTTGGCGTGCTGGACATTTCATGAACCTGCAAAAAGGAAAACAATCTCAGGCTAGGTTGTATCTTTAAAATCATTCTTATGCACGGGTTGGATTATTCATTTATCTTGCAAGTCTTTGTTTGGAGCTGAGTAAATTAACAACCATAATTACAGAAAAACATGGTATCAGTGGCAGATTTAGAGGGGGGTCAGGGGGGTCCTGACACCCCCCTTTGATTTCTGGTCCCCTCTTGAAATTAGAATTTTAACTAGCTGAATCATAGTTCTAAACCGTAACAAATGGCGTCATTGGCCCTCTAAAAAACCAAAAATTTTCGGTGCTCTTCATCGGGCCCCACGCCAAGTGGGGGAGGGGGGAGGCTTTGCATCTGCGTATCCCCCCCCCCTTCAAATAATCCGGGATTCGGCCCTGGGTATAACCCATATCAGTGTACAGTGACTTGCACTCCAAGCACTAGAGCGCGGCATTTTACGGTCTACGTATACATGGGGTATATTTTGCGACTGTATTGAATTCATTCAAAATTACTTAACTGATTTGAACACACATTTCACGTTATGGCAGTCTAGTGTAGAAGTATTCTATAATATCATATAAATAGTTTTATGGTGTTTTAGGTACGTTATAAAATAACAAGGTTAATGACCTTATCAAAGATACAAATGATCATTTTCCCCAACAATAGCCTCTCGTCTATCAAACGAATAGTCTAATATTTTTTTAAAAAAATGCCAACAATAATTATGAATACGAGTAATATTTTGATAAAAATATTAATAAAAACGATGAGGACATTACCGTAAGGTGTTTTCTGTCCAGTTAACAGGTACTGATGAGTCTTATTGGTGTGCCGTATTTCGCCCTCGTTTACCGCAGAATCTTGAATGCCACTGGTTTCCCGCTTTTCATATCTCGTATCACTACGCTCAGCATTAAAAGTACCTTTTATAAATCACTGAAAAATTCATCTATGCCAACAATAATTAAGTAACAGTGGAGGACATCATTAAGATACGAAGTAAATTCACGCATTCAAAAGCATTTCAGTTCATAATTTTTAATTGAAATAGAAGGACTATATTTCAGGCTCTGTGACCTATGCATCTATGACATTTGACATTTTATCAGTCATGAAAAGGAGGCTAGTTCTGGCTGTCGGTGGTGTAGTGACAACTTATCACGTCGCTGGGCATCAAACAACGTGCGAAAAATTGTCCTGAGGCTGAATTTGTGTTAAACCGAGGGGAGGGGGGGGGGGGGGGCGCGTAACGAGCGATGTTTATTGCTTTGAAAGGTACTCTTTACGGGAATTACCCACCTAAATGAATTGTCCTTGATAATAAAAGCAATTCCTCCTACTCGCAAATCATGGCTTGACCCGCCCATGAGCTTGGATTCGATTATTTTGTGTAATAAGAAATTCAGGGGCGGATCCTGAATTTTTTAAAGGAGGGGGGGTCCAGTTTTTTTTTTTTTTTTTTTTTTAGGGATTGACAAGTCTCGGATTGCGAGGCCGACCCTCACCCCTTAGCGTCAGGTTCTGGACACGCTCGCGGTCGCCGATAAAAAATTGGTGTTTTAGAGGGCAAATGGCGCCATTTGGTACGGTTTAGAACTGTGATTCAACTAGACCTTTTTATTTGTATTTTTTTTTTATGAGAAATCAAAAAGGGGGGTCAGGACCCCGCTGACACCCCCTCCCAAATCTGCCACTGTAATTTCATGATTTAGTTGTAATGACTGACCAGTCATTTAGAATGCCATGCCTTCCAGTACATTTCAGAGGGAACTATCGACGCCAGGCACTTTTATTTGAGGAGTTGTATAGCTTTTAAGGTCTGAATTGGAAAAAAATAGTAGCTTTGCATGATGTGTGGGCATAGAGATATGACTTCGGGAAATTTTCATAAAATCGTATTTAAACAGATAGTAATGTATTTTTTCTTTTTCGAATTTCTCTTTATTATAAATTAACTAATTTGATATTGAACAGAGGAGCGGTGAGACAAAAGTGGCGTAAAACAAAATCGTTGAATAACTTATAGAGGTTTGTCAACGAAAACAAACAACGACCCACGCTGGCACAATGAAATTAATTTTTACAGTGGAAACACATCCCAGAAATTTATCATTAAAGACGATTTATATATAAATCTGCTGTTCATAGACATCAATTATATTCTAATACAAGTACTTATACACTGGCATGGTTATTGTTTGTTTTAATGGCGGTTTACCAGAATAACATAAGAAAACTGAAGATGGGTATTTGACGCTGAATAAAGATGGTCTTTGCTCAGTAAAACAGATACATAAGAGGTTTCGAAATTCCAGATGGCTTTATAGCGGTACCAATTTTGTATATTGATCATTATGAAGGTATATTACTGGTTCATGTACATGTGTCGCGGCAGCAATCACTGTTCAAAGTCAATTTAAGTTCAATGGGAGTTGCTGGAGTCTCAAAAACGATTATTTGAGTCTTAATAATTACAACTGTACAAGAGATAAAGCTAATAAGCACATTTATCCAAGACAAGGACAAGATATACACTGACTTTATAGTGGCATTATTAGCCTTGACTCGTTGCGCCCTAGAATTATTTTAGTTGTTTTGCACGTGGGGTATATTTTAGCATCAAATCATCAATTATCTCCTTTCCTGGAAAATTTACTCTTTTTTCTTTTACTAAATAATTCATTAAAGTGCGATATTGATTGTAATGTTAATTTCAACATGCTAATAAAATTGAATCTTCGAGATTGTTGTAACACACAGGATTTGTCCCATTAGTTAGAGTTAGGAAAACGGACATCGAAAACACCCCTCCCCCTTTGCTACCTTGAACCTTACTGGAAAAAATTGTTTTTAGATCAATTTTGGTAAATTATACCCGCTCTTTGACCGAGTCTCCATACCAGGATACACCTTTCCTCAAAGGGCTATCATCAGCAGACTTCCATGCAATTAATGAAGTGCATAAAAACAGCAACTCCAGGATTCTTCCCCAGTGGAAATTCGATCGTCGCACTTTGATGATATTCATCAGAAATGCAACGTAGAAACGGAAATGGATCTTGGTACGGTTTTATTCTTTTATTATTTGTGTTTCAAGGCGATACTAGCGCGTGTCCGTGGGGAGAAACTGGCCTGAAGCCATGGAGTGACCCACAGAGCTGGCCAGAGAACTCTGTGAGTAGCCATTAGTTAGTTAGTTAGTTGGTGGAAGCGCAGCTCCTGAAATAGCTACAAAGTGATTTTAAATTGGATATCTTAAATCAAATCGGAATGAATATGGATTCATATTTGATTATAATATAATCAGATAAACCATTTTGATTGACCTGCCTGGTGAATAATAGAAATTCGTCAAAAACTTCTGTAACAAATTATAAATCCATACGATTTTGGTTAGTTTTTTTGCATACGGCATCCTTTTGCCTTAAAAATATTAGGAAGTGTGTTACTCTGCGCTAGAACACTTGAGTGGAATGTGCATCACATTGAACTTAACCTAATTCACGTTTAAGTCGTTAATAGTCTTACGTGGCGATATAGTGAATTTTCTAATTTATTAGACCAAAAGCGTTTTACGAACGATTAAATAAGGCGCGGCCCACTAGAGAGCATGCCGATGTTTAATTGCTCTGCCCCTGGGACGGCGCGCGTGGGAGTTGGGGGGGGGGGGTGTCCATTGTCAAGTGCGCGAAATATTTGATCCGCGGATCTGTTAGTCCGCGGATCAGAGTGCTTCTTAACAGGCCCTAACATAATACCAGCGTGCATGTAACTATTTTTAAAAAAGACCACTTGGGTGAAGTACCAGTGTTTCTTAGTATGGCTTTTATTTGACACGAAAAAAGTTTGTTTATTCAGGTGCCCACCGAGGACAGTGTTGTCATCATCGAAGACGGGTTGTCCATACTGCTGGACACGTCACCCCCTCCTCTCAAAGCAATTAAGATCAGGCGTGACGGGCGTCTGATATGGGGGATTAATACGGAAGGGACTGATCTACATGTAAGCACTTACTACATACTGATTGCCAATAACGGATCTCTAATTATTGGGTCTGAAGAATGCAAGTATCCAGCAGATAAGAAGGCTATCATTACACTTAGAGGTAAGAAGATGTTCTTTTTCTGTTGGGGGAGTGGGCGGGGGGTTCAAGCGAAAAATGCCAAAACACCGCAAGAGGTCTGATGGGACTATGAATCCGTTGAAACCCAAAAGTTTAGTATGTTCACGCAAAAGGTCGACGAAAAGACGAGAAAACGCAACCTCCTTATAGAGTATTCTCAGACTTTAGGATTCTGGTTAAGTTCCTAACGTTTTTTCAGGGAAACGAGACGACATCCCGGACGTGACAGACTTTGGGCAAAAGTTTATAGGAGTAGACAATGGAAACCTGGAAATTCACGGAGCTGATAAAATATCCTGGACGAAACTGACACAGTCCGTTGTGAAACCTTCGACAGCCGATGATGGACTCCTGTTCTCGCATGATGTGAGTACAAAGATCAACTAAATTTTCTTCGAAGCGATTCCAATTCAAAGAACACTTTTTTTATGTCCTTGTCTGTAAATAAGGACATTTATTGTCTGCGTCATGCCCCCATTTTATCAATTCACTTTTACTACTGAAGGTAGGTTATATCAGTTTACACAAAGGCCAACAGCTGAAAAATTTTGTACTGGTAGAAATAGTCATTTGGATTGAAATCATAATTTTACCCGTGTCTGAACACGTCAAGTATGTCTCTATTTCAGTTGGGAAGCAGCTGGGACAAATTTGACCGCGGTATATATCTTTATGAGTTCAATTACAAAAAGAAGGAGCTTGTTGCAACGAACAAAACCGTTTATGAGTCTAACGTTAGGCAGGACATAGAAGAAGATCTTCCAGCTAGAATCAGGGGTACGTTTGATTATGTTCGATCAACATTGCATGTCATACATGTATGTCTGATATATGCATTGGTTTTTGGTCCGTTGTCTATATAAAAAAGGTATGCTTTGAAACCCTTCAAAAAGAGCATATTTTGATGTAAAATGACGTAAGTGGATCAAAATATAGGACGGGTTTCTTATGCCATTGCGAATCAATTCCTATTCTTCTGACCTTACTTTTTTTTACTATTTTGAAATGTATAGTTTGGAGAACTGCTGATATATAGTCGTACTTCACACTTGCTAGAAATGACTTCCGGTCAACTTGCCATGTTGGCGGTTCGAGAAGAAGTCGTGCGCCCCGATTCCACTTTTGATTTGGAGCCCCTTCTGACGGCACTGGAGGAAAAGGGGGCCACACAGCTTAGGAATTTCCAACAAGGAGACGCGTATGCCGCCATTTTTATCAAAGGTAAATATCTTTCTATATTTGCAACTCCGTGTGACTGCGTGTAAAAAATATTATTGCATTAGTCATTTTAATGATGTTAATGATCTTAAAAGATTGTTTTTAAGAAACGGATAGGGCCTATGTGTTTCAGTAATATATACGTAGGATTTAATTTTCCCTTGTGCCTTTTCGACTTTGGTCCTTTTTAGTCTTCCAACCAAAGAAACATGACAAAGAAAGATTTTATGAAACTCGTGTAGATATCAGAAAGTAAGGGAACTTGTGCAGAGTGGCAAAACCACGAAACTGCGGCCCATCAATTTGGCTGCAAAATACACAATGCCTACCCTCTACCAGGGTCACAGATTGTTTTTTTTTCACTAGATATTCACAGAAATGTCTCTGGTTAAATTGAAAGTAATTCGTCAGAGAAAAAGTTCACATAATATAAAATGCGGTCCTGGTAGAAGGCATACAATGGCTTTGTTTTGAGAGCCGGGCATATGGTATCATCTATTGTATGTACTGGAAGCATCCGTTTTTACACTGTGTCATTTCCTTAGCAGATGCAATTAGGGAGAGAGAGAGAGATAAATCACCTTTGACAACTATCCATACATATAAGGGTATTTTTTTTTATCTTGTGAAAATGTTCTCTTCCTGCTTCTTGTACCCAATCTGTATCAGTTTACATTGAAAGGACTTTAAAAAAACTGCATGTAGGCCTATGTACTCTTCAAGGCAACCGCTGTGAGTGTTCATACATGATCTCGAATTGTGCTATTTTCTTTTAGATTTAATGTAGTTTTTAAAATTAGAATTGTCCTTATCATGACATATGTACTAAAAGCATATAATTATTATCAAAGACATATCCTTTCCTTTTGACATAAAGATTATGAATATGCTAAAAACATAATACAGTAGAAAATTGCACTTAGCTCTTCGTGTACTTGTTCATAATTTACAACTAAAATAAATAAATAAATTAGTTAGTAATTAAAAACCTTTTTGCAGAATTCTTACGTTTATGCTATGAGTAAAACTTTGTTCATTCTGTATGTAGGCAAGGAAGAGGACACGGTTGAAGAACTGGCCCAAATGCGTGGACATGTGTTCACCGAGACAAAAATCTTGACCCTGACCATCAAGGGTGCGAAGTACATGGTCCAGAGTGGAAACAGTGTCAAACAACAGCCGAAGAGATTGACAAAGCAACAAAGACAGTACGTGCGGTTTCAGGCTTTGGAACAGACTGATTTTAGAACCACGTCGCTGTTCCTTGCAGATGACGTTTCGTCGTGGAACGTAGGTAAGTTGACGAACAATTTTAACTGCATTGTTTAGACCTTGTTCAGATAAACCCATCGAACTAGCTGAATCGATCTAATTCTGAGGGGGATTCTCGTTAAAGAGCATTCAGTGTAATCACCTAATTGTCTAATACGCCTCCTCGAGTAAAAGAGCTTTCGAGAGCCGATCGCGCATGATAGCTATTACCCCGTTCCTGGTCGAGGAGGCGTGTCAGACCATTTAGCGGATTACATTGACTGCACTTTAGCGAGAATACCCGCAGAGTTGAATTGATCCAGCTTGTAGGATGGTTTTATCTGGATGCTCCCTTAAATACCATTTTTGTGTTAAGAAGCGGGCGAGAACGGTGGTCAAGATACGCTGACATAGAAACTCACATCGGGGAGTCACTCATGTGATCAACACCCTTTAATGAAGGAGTCGAAACATAATTCGTTCCTCATAGATAGAAAAATGTTTTCATGTTGTCTTTTTAAAAACGATTTGCTCTATTCTTTTCGTTGTTTAATATATTTTTAAATATTAAAATATGCAGTTCAAGGCACTTTTATCCAATGTTCCATTTCGCTATGGATTAACTTTATAGTAGTAATAATGAACGTGCATATAAAGATACACGAACGACATTTTATTAGTAAATAAATGCTCTCTAAATCTTCATGATACTATATTATCAGACATTGCTTTATGAATTAAATCTCAAATCACTTAGTTACACATCTTGTCTCTCGCTGCAAATGCTCTGGTAAAGAGTGTCGGATGCCTGCTGTTACAGTTCTGATGTCTGACATTATCAACACAAATATAACTTATTGTCGTATTTTTTGTATTGATGATATATTATTATTATTATTATTATTATTATTATTTCAAAGGGGATGAGATACTGATAGGATCCACGGACTACAACTGGATGCAGACAGAAATAAGAACCGTCACAAATGTGAGGAAGACGAGAGTGGATTTAGACTGTAAGTTCATTACGTACCCGTCAATAAGCTGTTTTTAGATGCACCCCCTCCCCCCCATCCACCCACCCACCCGTCGTCCTCTCTTCTTTACAAATTTTCCCAATCTCAACCCTCAGTCCTCTTGTATGCTGAATCAAAAACTTCGTTAACGATTATTGAATGAATCTATTTGGATGGTATTCAACAATTGATATATTCTTGTAGATTTAAAGATTTTTCCTGGATGGCAAACAGTCTCAATTTTACGGTATAACTAGGCACGTCTGTATCACTCCATTTGTAGTAGATGACTATGTTTAGTTCCAATCATCCCATTCCATTTATTATTATTATCTTTATTTTTTCCTTATATATCTGCCAATCTGTCTCTTTACTTGCCTTTTGCATCTTATTCATGTTCACGTTTTATTCCATTTTAAGTTATGATAATATAAGTTGACTTCTTTTGTTTCAGCACCCTTGTGGTTTGATCATTTTGGTGAGATGATTGATAATGTAGACGAACGCGCGGACGTCGGGGTGCTCACCAGGAATGTCGTCATAAGGGGGGAACGTGAACTCTCTTGTTATGGCGATAATCACTGCGACGTATTTGACATAGATATATTTGGAGGACACTTGAAAGTTAGTTTACTTTCCATAGGTTTTTCTTTTATAAATACTTCCAATACAAAACATTTAATTGCATGCATCTGAAGCTGTAGGCTTATTTGTGGAAAAGCTTCAGCATCATGTAGCTTTATGTGATATTTACGTTTTAATTGCTGCAAAATCAATATCTCACGTAATATGGCTGATATTTGGATTAAAATTTGCCCTAAATTTCCCATATTGTTGCATTGACAGGTACATCACCATTTTGGCTCTGTCAACATTGAAGGCGCTGAGTTTGAGCACATGGGGCAGCATGCAGTTCTCGGTACGTATTAGCAAACTATTGAAAGTGTCTAAATTTTAAATATTTCTCCAAATGCACCAGCGAAATCAATCAAAACTCGTCAGATATAGCATCAAATTACCCTCAAGTCCTCAAGACGTTCCGTTTGTTGTTTTTTAAAAAATATTTATTAACCATAGGCCAGTGTTTACAAAGAATTGCTCCCAAACTCATAATATTAGCATTTCACACCTTTTAAATATTATACAATTATAAATTTTGGGTGGGGTGAACAATAACATTCTTCGTACTGACCAAAAGCAGATGGCTATAATTGTTTTATTATATAATTCATGTCCACATACATGTATGCACAGGTGTATGTATTTATCCATTAAATCAAATTCACTAGGAACCTACCCCATCCATTTTCACATGTGTGGGGACACCGACACGACAGAGGGGGTGCCCAGTCCGTACGTTAGGCAGAACTCTATTCACCACTCAGTATCGCGCTGTGTTACCGTGCACGGCACCAGCGGTGTTCAGGTCAGTGTTTATGGCAAAATATGACTTCAAAACACGTCACGGTCACGTCACTCTGACATCACAGAGTCATCGCAGTTGTGAGGTCATATGAAAAGCGCCATGTCATGATTGTATCATGTATGGGCTATGAAATTAAACAACCAACTAATGGCAAATTGACTTTAGATTTACTGACGCACTATATGTAAAATGCATGTTTTTAGTTGGCTTCCATGTAAAATATATCTAGATCTTGTTATTTTTCGCTCTTACTGTACATTCAAAAGACCTGTCAATGACCTCTTCTTTCACTTAATAAAAGTTTCGTTTATTTCAATGTTTTTTATGTGTATACAAGTTAATCCTCTCTACTCAAGATTTCGTAATTCTGAGGGATGGCGGCATAACCGCATCCTATATGGAGGAGGAGGGGGTTTAGAGTGGATGATAAATCAGGTAGTACTCTCGATGACTGCATTCAGATTTACACATCGTACTAGATGGGTCGTCCCAACTCTGCAGGGGATTCTCCCTAAAGTGCAATCAGTAGAAAAAGCTTAATTGTCTGACACGCCTCCTCGAGCAGCTAGTGCACTTTAGCGATAACCTCATTCCCAAAGTTGGACCAACCCAGCTAGTATGTTGTGTGAATCTGAATGCGCCTATTGATTGGAACTGAGTCCCTGACTGTAATACTTTAGGTCGTGGACAACCTTGCCTACCTCAGTATCGGCCACTGCTACTTCCTGGAGGACGGGTCGGAAAGGCGGACTGTATTCGATGGAAATCTTGGTATTGGGACAATGAACGGGGTTCTCATTCCCACCGACACCGCGTAAGTAACGTTAAGAACATATTTTAGCTAGAAAATAAATTGCCCGTTCGGTGAGATACAGGTACGAGTTACACGTGTCTTGTCCGCATTGGCGATCTGTCAGGATGGATGTAGGCCTACCCTAGGTTCTAGATTTCAGTATTGCCGGCTCGATAGCAATACTGTAAATCTACCACATGAAAAGGTACATGTGAGCAAGCTAGTTTTATAGTGCCCTGACACTCAGGGCAGATAATGTCCCTTGGGTATAAATGTTTTATCAGCGAACTAATTGCCCTTCTCGAAGGTTTGATTTAGCCCCTTGGAACTAAATATCAGAGATTTTTTCGCCAATATTTAAAATCATTTGCTAAATTTGTTTCATATAGGGATCTTTTCAAGAAATATTAGACACTGTAACGCTGACAGCAATATGGTTATTTCCTCCAGGCCAGCTACATTTTGGATAAAGAGCCCGGATACTTACCTGAGAAACAACGTTGCTGGGGGTTCGGAGGTACGTAAAGATGAAGACCAATGTTTTTTAAACAGTACCGTGCTTAATCCCATAGTAAAATGTTTATTAGGTCAAACTTTCATAATTTCTAATTTAAAAAAGAAACATATTTTAATAGTCCGGGGGCAACAAGTCGACAAGACTGACTGCAGTTGCGGAACTTTTTTATCCATTATTATCGAGTAATTTTTCCAGACCTCGAATTGAGCACCTACTTTATTTTTGTATGGTCATGTAACGTCATTGACTTTGTATCTTTGTGAAGTTAATCAGAATTTTTAAGCCCAATTGCACTTCATCTTCATTCATAATTTCCAAACGTTACAAATCAGTTCATTGGCTTGCGTAGAGGGAAAAGATTGAAACTGGTGTTCTAACTTATTATTCCAAGTTTTGCAAATGCAATATACAGTATTTTCTCCGGAAAAGAAATTTATGACTATGTTCATTCTACTCGTGGGAGCGCATGGTTTCAACAAAACTTGTCGCTTACGAACTTTGGTTAAACACACACGCACGCACACACACACGGGCCCGCATCGCTGATTAAACAGTTAAAATTTGCAGGATAAGGGCATTTGGATAATCTTTCCCGAGTCACCGAACGGGCTTTCAGCTTCAATGGACCCTCCAGTGTGGGCGGAAGGCGAGGCCAGTAGATTTCCTGTGCCTCAAATTGAGAACAACGTGGTTCATTCCAATAGGGTATGTTATTTTTTGTTTTATACCTGTTGAAAATATAGCGCAGTTTTGGATATAGGTATTTTCTGTTTGATTCGATTTTTTGTTCAGAAATTTTCCTTCGTCTTTAGATTTTGAAATGGTAATAAAAATTACCGTTTTTTATACTTCACTGAATGTCCTTTCTTGGAGATTCGCTGAAAGATTTACTTTTGGTTGCAGTTTAATAGTATGGGCTCTTTTAAAACGCTGTAGGATATTTTACCTACATATACACTTGATACACTTGATACGCCCTCACGAAAAGCGTATTTTATTTTTTACAGTATCTTTGACTTCCTATTATCTTTGTTAGTTAGTGTTAATCTGCTGTAAGTTGAAAGGAAACTAGATTTTGAGATTTGTTAACATATTGTCATTGTCAACCCGATGAAAGTTCCCTGTTTTTCCACAGGATGGCTTTTTCATGGACAACAAGTTAAGCTCCACGGATGCTCTCCTTAAAGAAGGTAACGACTACAGACCGACGGAGGAGGTTGTCTTTAAGCGCATAACTGCCTTTAAGAACTGGAAACAGAATGTATGGATCAGAGGAAGCCCGCTGAGATGTGACCATTGCTCGTAAGTCTCATTTTTTGGTATCGGAATCCAGTGATTACACAGCTTTTTTTTTCCATAGCGAAAAGTTGATAGGATTTAAAATCTGAACAGTATCCGAGTTGTATCACAGTTACTGCATATTTAATCTTCAGTCCTGTTTTGATATATTGCAAATTAAAATGCCACGTGAATTTCTGTACTGGTCGTACTTTTTCTTTGATTATCCGAAAGCAAGCCAGAAGAGCTGACATTGTGACAAAATTTCGAAAGGCAGCACTGAGTTCATTAAGCTCTTTTTAAACAAATAAACTTCACAGAACTACAAAAGAAAGTGTATGTGGATTTATACCTTGTGTATTTTTAGTTTAGCGGACAGCCCAAGAGGAATAACGTATGCTGTGTAAGTTGTGCATATTTTGTCCTTAATAGTCCGGTGGCTTAAGGAAAAAATCATGACACGGCGGATAAAAGCACCAAATTTTGCATGTGGGTACCTTTTGACATTCTAAATCAAATTAGAGCCGTAGCCCACGGAAAAAAATTACCGTTTGGCCAAAAAATCCAAAATGGCCGCCAATTTATTGAATTCTTTAGAAATATGTATATGCCTATGTTGATTTTTATCAAATAAATTATTTTCTCAAAGTTTTCCATACCCTTATTACCCATTTTATTTATATATGTCAAATAGCAAACAAGTTCCCTTGGACTTTTTGAAAAAATCCAAGATGGCTGTCATTTGCCATAGAAACAACCATAGGAATACTAGTGCACAACTATTACCAGCTAGAACGATACGTTGTCCACTGTCAAATTAAGTCTGCTTCTCAGATCTTTGTTACCCACATAATATGTTTGTGGTGAGTAACTACGAAGTGTTCTTGGGCATTTTGGAAAATCCAAGATGGCTGCCATGTGCCACAGGAATTCTAGTATACGGTGATTCAACTAATGGCAACTGGAAAGATTAATTTTTCACTATCAAATTAAGCTGGTTTCTGAGTGTTTTTCCACATCCTTTCTACCCACACAATATGTATGTGGTGAGTAACTAACAGTATTCTTGGGCATTTTGAGAAAGTCCAAGATGGCCGTCATATGTAATAGGAATACTTATAGTATTACAAAGGGTTGGAACTAATGCCAGCTAATTCACTATCAAATTCAGTTTATTTTTTAGTGCTTTACACATTATTATTACACTGTGATACATATCTAGCAGGTAATAAATGTGCATATTTGATCATTTTGAGAAAAAC